GCCAAAAAAATAAACCAAGTCTTCGTAAGCCATCGACAACAGCCATCAATAAGCTCAGATCAACGTAAATGTATATCCTGCTTAATATTTCACGGTATTAACATCTGTATTTTTTTAAATAAAAACTATTAGAAGTACAGTTACACCAAGTTAGTTTACGTAAAATTTTAATTTTTTTTTAATGCCGAAAATTGTAATTCATTAACTTTTGATACTGTGTATCTGGATCAAGTCCAATCATCATGAAGAAACGCTAAGTGGTGGTTTGAGACATGTAATGTAATAAAATATAAAAAAAAAAACTTTTTAGAACCTCGTCGGTCCTCCGTTCGCGTCAATGACCGCTTGGCATCGGTCGTTCATACTGCCAACAAGCCTACTCGCAAGATCGACCCCTATTTCTTTATAGGCTTCTTCTAAAGCCTCTTTCAGCTCATTGACATTTTTAATACGAGTCCTCTTATCACTAATAAGGGACTGGAGAGAACTCCAAACATACGCAATGGGATTCAAATCAGGGCTTTGAGCGGGCCAGTGCTCAAAGCGGCTGATGGAATGGGTGTCCTTTCACCATGTCGCATAAGCACCTGTGTGACAGGTGGCACCATCCTCTTGGAATATGGAATCCCTGTCGTCCTTCTCACAGAGATCCACAAACCAAGGATGGAATTTTGATGCCAAAACATTGATGTAGGCCGTCTGATCAACATTACCATCAATGAAGACCACAGGCCAAAACCCACCCACCCAAAAACAACTACAAATCATTACGCTTCCTTTACCCCATTTTATTGTTGGAACAACATGTTCCTTTTTTTACCTTTCCCCGACTTTTCGTATCCCTCTCGCTCTACCGTCGTAACCTTCGACCGTGAAACGGGACTCATCCGACCAGACAACCCCTCTCCATTGCTCTGTGGTCCAGTTGACCCGCTCTTTGGCCCAACAAAGTCGTTTCTTTTTTTGAGCGTCTGTGAACGCTGGCTTGTGTGCCGCAAAGTAAGATCCAAAGCCAATGTCTTTTAAATAAGTAAAAGAAGTTGGTCTCGAGATGTGAGTATCATAGAGTTTTAACTCTGAGTTTATTTTATTGTAAAAAGCAAATGGTTCGCGTCTCGTAAAGGCTTATAGACATCTCAAATCTTTATCGTTAAGTTTTTTAGGCGCGCCACTATGTTTTTCAGCGAGTGGTGTACCCTTTTCTTTGATTCGATTAATAATGGTTTGTACTGACTAAACAGGTAATCCAACTGTTTCCGAAATCTGAGTCATCGTGTAATTAGCTATACGTAACCAGTATACACCCCAGTAATTTTTTTCTTCGCGTTTTGTATAAGTAGTGTGGGTAGTGTTAGAAGATTCTTCAATATTCATTTTGAAATTAATATGTAGGTTTTTATTTAAAACTAAAATATATTTTAGAAGTATCGACAAATCGTGTTTAAAATTTTGTTTTTTACGTAAACTAACTTGGATTAACCGTAGTAACACGCCACTCTGACAATAGCAATCTATTCCAGATGCTAGATAGTCATTATGCCGACGATGTTCCTGGATTTGTTAATCCCATTCCCGATGGTAATTGTGGATGTCGCGCTGTCAGTGTTGCAGTTTTTGGACACGAAGAAGTCTGGATCCATGCCAAAGTTTGCTATCTCCATTTGTGACAGCTACGGTTTAAACGAAGCATACATAACAACAAACCGTTTGTCAACAAAAGCGCCATGTCTTGACAATTCGAATCTTTGATTTGGTTGCTATGGCTGCCCACAAATAGTTGCTGATACATTTAAACGATCAGTTATCTTCCATGCAACAACGCCAAAAACAGACAAATATGATAATCTGCGGAGGGATGAAGACGGAAACGTCATTTATACCAGGGCTGCAGTACCTTTTGTGGCATTTCTTGGATTAGATATAGAAAAAATTAATGAACCTATTAATATTATTTTTATTAACAGTCATTTCTATATGATTAAGCCCACTGTTGACGCCAAATCCAAGAAACCAATCATCCGAAAAAAATGGCCAACCATCAATTTTTTACAACAAAAAATATTTAATGCGCACCGGGACATCTGTGTTAACGACATATCTGAATATTTTCAAAATAACTAAATCTTTTTTTTTTACCTATCACTTATCCTTATTATACTTATTCTTATCACATTTATCCTTAAATTATAAAAAAATAAAATAAAAAACTTAGACAAATAACCATGAGATTTAACTCAAACGCACAGTAGGAACAGTGATGGAATTGTTTAAACTCTTTAACATCATGTTTGCATCCATTATGCGCGAGAAAAGTATGGTGCACGAAAAAGTGTGGTGCGCCGACGAAAAAAGTATGGTGCGCCATGTAGTGACCTAGCAAGGCTATAGCCATATTAGAGCTAACAAAGGTTTATTCATGCTGATACCATTGGTGATATAAGCTTAACAATAAATGTCATAGTTTGAACTACAAGGATATTACATCACAAGTCTAATTTGGTACGTCTGAGAAATACTTGAAATTTAGTTAAAGGCAAAGAGAGTTAAGAAGACTTAACATTTATTAAAATAAGACTAAATTAGTGACTATGTAATAATCGTATACAATTTTGGTAAATCAATAATAACTTCAAGATAGCACTAGAGATATGAACTTAGCAGACAGTCTTTATATAAATACCCGTACATTTCATTTATTAATAAAGGACAATCCTATAAACAGCCTCAAACTATTCCTATAGTTGAAGTTGCGTACACGTTTGGTTACAGAGTTGCCTTCAGTTGTTTGGTTTGCGTACAAATGAGTTTGGAGCAAACAACTGCAAAGAAAAGTAAAATCAGTTGGTGACAAATCGTACAAATTTAATTGCAAAATCACCAACTGTTGTTCGTTTTGCGTACAAATTTGATTGCAGCAAACAGCTAAAAAAAAATAAAAAAACCAAACAAAACCAGTTGGTGACAATTCGAACAAACTTGGTTGCAAAACCACCAACTATTGTACGTTTTACGAACAAATTTATTTGAGTCAAACAGAAAATCCGCCATAGTGTACGCAGTCAGAAGACGAGCTAATTTCCAGTCACAAAAGTTAGGATTTTAAGTGGAGGTGAGGGGATATCCCCTTTCACCCAAGAATATGGCCTAAAGTATTATGCATTAAATTGTAACCTTCTGAAAAACAATATTCCTTTTTTTTTACAGCATAAAAGCTTAGACCACAATTTGTTTTTACAGCGTGATTTTGTTCTACAGCGTAATATTTTTGAGCAGATACAAAACTTAATGCTAGGGAAACCCCTCCTTCTGAGAATACGACCCATAACATTAAACATAAAACTGAATGAAAGTGCTTATATAAAAATTGACTATTACAGAGAGCGTCATAATATAAAAAATGACTTTTATGTAAAAAGTGATCGCCAAAAAAAAAAGCTTACTATTGCAGATCCGTGGGTTTCGGTTGAGACGTTACCCGTCCATTCAGTACTATGACAAATAGCATTAAGTATAAGTTGTAAAGCTCAAAATTGTTTTTGCAAGGCAGTGTTAACGAAGAGAAACTTATTATGCCTACACTGATAATACGGAAACTTATCGAAAAATATATTATTAGGGGCGGTTTCACCGGAAGTTGGTACAAACACATCCTATCTCAACATAAAGAGACGTATTAATGTAGTATTTTATGAGTGGTGCACGAAAACAACATTATTCCTTTAAGCAATCATCTTTTTAGTATTAGCATCAGCATATTGTTACGAAGGTAAAATTCAAAAATAACTGAATGTTCGGATGCCCTGCCCAACATCACGCACTAAGGAATTACGCATTACACCATTGAGCTAAAAAAAACAGCCAACGAACCATGTTTTACCGACAATATATCGTTAATCAGAGAAGAACCGTATATGTTTTGTTTTAGGTGTGTGGATGGGTCTCCTTTGAAATTATCATATTGGATTATCAAATTTTTAATTAGGAAGCAGAGCCATTGCGCATAGTATAGTTAATCAGATACATAAACAATCAAAACTTTTGGGTAGATAGTTCAACTTTTTAAACTGGGCGAAGGGACATGTTCTTCTTCCAAATATTAAAACATGTACAGATAAGCATCGAAATTTTCTTCAGTGTCAGACGGATAATAGGCAATGTAGCTTAAGCTATAATTGTTCGTAAGATTTGTGCCTAATTTTTTATATTTTAAGTTTTTCATTGCCAAACGGGCTTGCGGCAGCACAAGGCTTTTCAAGGCTCAGCGTACCGAACCATAGTGAAGCTCAAAAAATTACCGCAGCGCAGCGAAGGTTTGGTTTTAAAAGGCCTCGTTAACTTAATAAATTTTCTTTTAATCCAATAAGTTTTATAGGTATCGTAATATAAGTTTATTATACTACAATACTTGATTTTGCAGTGATTTTTTTTTTAAAAAAATCTGTATCGGCGCAATTTTTAAAAAAGACTGTCGGTATAGATCCAAAATATGTTTAGACTCGTAAATAGTTTCTGTTTGGGATGGTGATAAAAATGTAAATTGAGGTAACAAAAGAAAATACTGTTACAACTGTGGATATCTTTTATTTCGAGAAAATTTAGATTAGGGAATTCTATTAGCAAAAACTACAGGTATTTATACTAAATGATTAGATGGCTTTTGGATAATATATGTGACGCGTTAGAGGAATATGATATAATGTTATACGTAATGTCTGTTTAAATAAATGTGTTATGAAGTAATTCCTGCCTTACAAAGTAAAGACAAAAGTACGTGAGGATCTAAATTCATCTCCGCAGGTGACATTACGTAAATGCCGAAGAGAAAGTTTAGTGCGTGTAATATTCAGTAACCGAATATTCTCGGTGCGTGGAGTTTGGGTGTAATTTATTTGGGGTGTAATTCTCGGTTAAATATATATTCCGTGGGGTGTAATAAGCCACTAATGACTTAGCCAAATTTCAATTTTTCTGCTTTTTCTCCTTTTTCTATTATAACAATAATGTCAGAAACGACTACGTTTAAAATACAATTTCCCCGAGAATTTGCACAGGAGACGTCAAAAGCTCACTTCAATGAGTCTAAAAATTTGTTCCAAGACTTTGACTTGAACATTGGCTGGTCATTAGCAACCGAAAACTCGTATAAGCCCAACAAAGGAAGACTTTCTAGGCTTATGACAGATGACGATCACGAACATGACCGCCGTATTGTAAAGTCATGCTTGGGAGCAACTGAATGTATTAAAAGCAGTTGTCCATTTTATTTAAAGGCAACTAGACCTCTTACCAGAGAGGCTGCTATAAAACAAAGTAAATGTCATCACTGCGACACGCTTTTGAGCTGGATTAAATGTGAAGTAAAAGTAGAGTATCTCTTCAAAGTAAAAGCCAGGACTTGTACCATGATGCATATGATAAACAAGGATTGCAGAATAAGACACACCCATGTTGTATACAATTCTAAGCATCTTTCTATGACAGAAAAGTTAGAACTCGATAAAATTTTGGAAAAGAATCCTACCATGACGCCCACTACTGCAGTTGCCGGTCGTCAAGATATTAAGTCTATTCAAAACATTAATCCAATTCTTGGAAATAAAGAACGTGCTAAGATGGAGCTGAAAAAGTCAAGAATCAGACAGGGACTTGAAAGCAAAAGCAATGGCGACTTTTTCGAAGAGTTCAATAAAATCGAAAATGACTTTCCTAATTTAATTAACCATGCACAAGTGATGAGTTCTGAATTTTGCATTATCTTTTCCTCTCCTGAAATGACAAAATTCAAGTTGCCCTTTGACAAGCACCCCATTATCACGGATGTTACTTACAAAGCGGTGTCCTCCGGTTATTATTTGGTCTCATCCGTCATCTCTGTTGAAGAAATGAAAAAGCATGTGGTGTTTTTTCAAGCTGTCATCAAGCACCAAACCGCCGAACAATTTGCCTTCTACTTCAAGGCGTTGTTTAAGAAGTACATATGCAATTGTATCAAAGTTTTTTCTTGGTATACTTTTAGATTTCTCTAAAGCTGAGCAACGAGGTTTTCAACAAGCCTGCGAAGAGCATTTCAATATGGACGATAAATCTTCTTTGTCATTAATTAAAGGATGTTATTTTCATTGGATGCAATCTGTCCAAAGAATTATCAAAATCCAGAGAATTGTTCCTGCCGGTAAATCTAAAGAATTTATTTCTCTTGCTAACATGTTGCAAAAAACGACCAGGGAAGAAGTCGTCATTGAAACAGGAAGGAGTCTTTTGAAGACGTTTCCAGATTGCCGTAGTTGGTTGCAATGGTGGTTGGATGACCATTTTCGACCTACCATTTTTAATTACGATTCGAATATGAAGCAGGAAATGCCCTCCTTCAGATTATGAAAGTTGCGCAGGTTTATGGAAACGAATTGGCCAACTACTATGAAAATGGAATCAGTCCTGTTTACGGGTCTAAAAAAAGAAAGACTCAAAGTAAAAGACTTATAATAACTTTGTACGAAGCATCTGATAGTAGACCACCAGATAACATTAATGCCATCTACGGTGATAAATCCAGCAGAAATATTAAGAAGAGAAGTTTGGACAGTGCTGTTGAAGAAAGCACCAACTTTTACGAGATTTTTGGTGTAGATAAAGATGCAAACAGTCACCGTATTGAAGAGAAAAATAAGATGGAAGATGGTATCACGGCTTTCTTTTCGACATATGACGATGATCTTCCATATGAATTGAATGATCGTCAACATAACGGTGACTACGAAGTCACATCCGATGGAGATTAAAACTTTACTGGACAACTAAATGTGGATTTAAAAAACAGAATGTTTGGAGGTTTTGTTGTTCGTGACGCTGCTGAAGAAATTATGGGATATGCATCTGATTATTGCAGTACCCCATTATCCGACGAAAATATCAAAAAAGACGATGATAGCAGCTCTGTGTGTTCGATGAACTCATTGAACATTCGACGTACTTTGGAAGGTTTTGTTGATGAAGGCTGGCTTGATGTTGAAGAAGTCAAGTTCTGTAAGTTTACTGCCTCTCCCGATCTTGATGACAACAAGTCTGTATCTTCAGTTGGATCGTTGGATTTTGATAAAATCTGGCAAGGTTACGTGGATGACGGCTTGGTTGTGGAAGAGGAAACGGTTGCTGTGAAAACTATCAGTAGAAGTAGTGACCCGGTCAATGTGAAATGTAAACGTCACATTTTACTATTTTTCACAATTGTCTTCACACACTCCATTTTGTTGTTCTATGAATTTGCCTCTTTATAAATACTTGCGAAAGTATACTTCTCTTATTTTTCTTCTTCTTTTTTTTCTTTATTCCATTTTATCATTTAACCAATAATACACTTTTGGTAGGTTTTATATTAGTTCATTGCCATTTTTATTGCTTAACGAATAATTGTAGTTGGTTTTTTTTACTGTTTTAAATAAAGTCACATTTCAAATGGCATAAAACAAAAGGCAGTCCAGAAGAGGGCCTCTTCTTCTGTGACTAAGCCTTGTTTAGAGCCTGTAACCAAGCAAAAAATTTGAATGTCAAAACCTACAATGAATTTGTCAAAAAATTTAACCATGATGCATCGAAATTGCAAGCCGATCCTATTTCTTCCAGGATTACTTTCTTTGATCATATTTCTGCGAATACATCCGCCTCGTGTTTCATTGATGCTACGTTTGAATTGCTGTGGAACAATGTTTTTCCTTCCGTTAATTTTACCAAGTTGGAAAATAGCGAAAACATATATGACAGCATGTTCATGAGCACTTACGACAAATATTGCGCACACAAACATGCCAGAACTATGCCAGAACTATGGAAGAAAAGGTTGCTCTCACCAATGAGGCATCCGCCATGGCAAGAGATTTTGTTTGGTCTTTGGAGAAGTTGGACGGATCGATGCAGTATCCTAAAGGTAAATACGGTGATTGCCTAGAGGTCCTTAACTTCATCATGGGTAAATGCTCAGAGAGGTTCCAGGCAGCCATCTCAAATTTCCCTGGATGCTCAACACTTAGATCACACCTTTGTTCTGTTAATGCTGAACATAGTTTCGTTGATCCTAACTCAGAAACTCAACCAGTAATCGAAGTGGGATTTGAAATGAGAACGGCATTTTCTGCTGAACGTACGTTTGCTTCTCACCAAAGTCTTGACAACGAGTTCAGCGCTGTGTTCAAATATGAACACATTGTCAGAGAGAGAAAGCATGCTTGTAGATTCGAAGGGTGTACAGGCACAGTCACTTCTCAGAATACTGTAAGCTTACAAGACTTCCCGCCCTTCCTATTCTTGGGAAATGCAAGAGGAGCTGGTATCGCATTGGAAACGACTTACTTTCCAAGTATCTTACAAATATCCGAAAAACTGAATTACGAAATTCAAGGTCGTGTGTACTCATCTTCGTATGATGGCTCCCACTTTTACACCGTTTGCTACAAAACAATTGGGTGCATACCCTATCTTGTAAGAATTGACAATATTAAAAAGAAAATCGTCATAATCACTGCAGACAAGCAAAAAGGCAGAGACATCCTGAAAAACTATAAAAACACTGTCTTTGCCTGCTACAAAAAGCTATAAAATCACACAAAAAAATACAAAACCTTTTAGAATAAAAAAAACCATATTAAAAATGCTTTACTTCGTAAGATTCTGTATTTTCTTTTATCAGTTTGCTATGTAATTGAAGACATAGCATCTATAATCTTATAATTAAAAATTTGGAGTGTAAAACAAAAAAAAATTAAAGTCTTTTTATACAACTCTATCAGTGACCGTTAAGGATATTTATTTCGGAAAAACTATTATACCGAGGATTACACCCCAAATGGATTACACCCTTTTTACCCACACAAGAATATTCCGCCTATAGGATTGTACTATACTTTTATGGTATTATAATATTTTACTCGTCACAAGGCAAATCACCTTGTGCACAGACACCAACTGTTCTGATGATAACAAATGGGGCGAAGTGTGAGCCATGAATATTTATACATGATCATCCATTATTATGTAAATGTTATAATTCCTTTATTATAATCAATGACATCCTCAACAGTTTCAGGGTGTTAGTTTACGGAAAGGCAAAATCTGTGGCTTTTCCAAAAGTTGCCGTGCACGATTCCCTCAGTAAATCCAATGGACCTGTTTCTAACGTACCTCTAAGTGTTTCTGCTTTTCTGTGTTATTCAAACGTCTTTTCACATGAATATGTTGTATCGTGATATCCAAATAAGTAGCATACATGTGGAAATTAGTAAAGTAATCAGGAGAAACTTGAGGTTAGGGGTAGTTGCTTCGAGGTTTTTTCACTTTGAATTGAAAGCAAGAATTAAGAAAATACACTTGTGTTGCATTGTAAGTTTCGTTCTCATAATACTCTCTCAATAGAATATCGACAGATACTCTTTCTTTGATATAGTTGGAATAGTTTTTAATCTTTGATGAAAAGGATTCAATTTTTTGACAAAACCACCTCAGCAGCCTTGAAAATTACAGGTTTTGTTAATTCTCTCAAAAGTCTGAGATGTCTTTGCGTTTTTGTTCTATTCATCTTCGTATACTTTAAAGTATTCTTATCTTCTGTTTTACTAGTTTCATAAAAGGTAATATATAAGATGACGTCTTCCAGGATCTGTAAGAATGCAGTTTACATCATTCCTTCTCAAGTCAGATTGTCTAACCCTCTCTATATACTCTGTTGATCAACAGTAACGGGTGTTGTATTATTTGCAATGGATATGTATCTTTCTGTTGGTATCCATATTATGTTTTATGACTGATATACCAACTCCATCAGTTTTGAGGGTCCCTTGAAATTGAATAGATTTATAAAATATTTGGTTGTTGAACGACTTGTTCTAAAGGTTACCTACAGCACCCCATGTGTCAAACTTGTTTTCTGCTTTTAATTGCAGCTTGTTATTGAGAATACGATGGTATACAGTATTAGTTTCTATCCGAAGTCATGTATCAAGGAATAAATGTAGTGCGCAACGAAAAACAGGTAAAAATTTTCATTTTTTCGCTTCAAACATTACAGCTAGTTAAAAAAAAGCCTGTATTTGGCTGTAAAAGTTGTACGTTTTGTTACCAAATTTAAACGAATCGTTACCAAATTTTTCACCATAGTGGTAATTACGATTCCAATAATTTTAATATAGTAAAAATAAAAATAAACATGGAAAAAATGGCGTGAATGAATCTTAAACGCCGACTAGATATCTGGTTGAGAATGAAAAAATGTGACACCAGAATTGATAAAGAAATCTGCAATCAACACTTGTTGAATAGTTTACTAAAGTTGTTGGCCAGCAACAATATTTTTTTAAAAACAAAACAATAATGGGCAACAGGTTTGTTGACCTAATCAACAACAGTTGTTGATTCTGGCAATAAAGTTGCCTACAACAAACAACAAATTCGTTATAGTGACAGTTTTCTTGTTTTTGGCTACTTGTTTGTATCTTTTTTTCTGCATATCATGTCATTGCGGTTTGTTCTATATGTCACAACCGCTGCTTCCTTCGTTTGCCAAACAATTCCATCATCCCATCAATACTCATCTATTGCTGACGCTAGACACACAATTACGCTCTTGATATAAGTTTTGTTTTCGCTTCTATGTATGCAATAAAGACTACGTATGGTACAATAGATGTAATATCATGTCATAAGTAGACCCAGTTGAGCCCGTTTTCTATATAAAATCTATTTTTAATGACAAATAATATCACAATAGCATATGTAACTCGTAATAAGAGCACAATAACAAAGCTCCATCTGTTTATTAAAGGCGTCATTTACTATCATCTAAAAAATATAGGCCAATAACAAAGCATCATCTTAAAATACAAAAACCAATGACCGTTTATTTTACGCCGTATCCTGAATCAAATAACGCAAAATACATCCTATAGTACAGGATGTATCCTGTTAATAATCCGATCCACAGGTATTGAATATCCCATGTACGCACAGAATACATCACATGATACAGCGTATATTTTTGCCATAAAAAAGCACAAAATATAGGGTGTATCATGTTGCAACAGGTAGCAAAATACACGAAATATCATCTACCGTATCCTGCATGCGCGAAGTATACCTAAGACTGTTTTACCATAATATTGTGAAAGATACGCCGTGTACGCTGTCAATATCACGGTAAAATCACAAAATTCTCCAACGTGGGTTTTCTAATTGCAAGTGATAAGTAAACTTTTTAAGATTTCTAGAATACAAAATTGCATTTCAAAAACGTATGTAGCAAGTACTTTGCATCAAATACGTTGTTACCTAACATAAATTTCCCGAAAAGAATTAATCCTTAACAGTCCTGCTACTGACAATTATCGCGGTTTAAATGTTGCGGACACGGCCGCTAGCCTAATTGTTGAGGATATCATAGATATAATAATAAATTTAATTGTCACATCACATTAAGGATGGATAATAATTGTAAAAGTTAATCATGAATCACAGATTACCACGCGTGATCTCATCCTACCGTTGGAGTCTGTACACAGGGTACATCCCTGTGGTGAGTAAATATTTATTTTGCAAAAGCAAAACAATCGAATGGGTCTGGACTATAGAATATTAATGGATCCTGACCACAAATATTACTCTTGTCATTTGATGTTATAATTGTTGATCCCTCTGACTAGTATTTATATACTCAGTATGGAAGGGCTAAAGCTAAAGACATGTTGATTATTTACTATCACCAGATTATCACTTCATGATCCAATAAGGCGCTTAATATTCTCCCTAGAACTATCCCAGTTGTTTATTTAAATATCCATAGTTTTTCTCATAGACCATGAATACAATTTTGGAATACATTTTAATATGTTTTTTAATTATATTTCTTCGTCCATAGTAAAGTGGTATCCAAGCTTTAATACAGTATTATCACTTTAAATTCAGACAAACGAAAATTATTTTCAGACAAGCTCAAAAAAAAATTCAGACTAAAAAAAAATTTTTTCAGACAAACGTAAAAAATTATTCAGACAAAGAGAAATTATTTTCAGAAATATGATAACAAAAATTCAGACAAGTAAAAGTTTAAACTAGTTTTGATTCTTTGTTGAGGCATTTATCCCAGTACGTTTCAGAGTGTCGTATCCAACCATTACAATCTTCCGTGGTAATAGTCTCACAGGCTGCCTTGATTCTTGGGGTTAAAGTGTCCAATGTTGAAAGCGGATTTCTTTTGATGTGCTTCTTGATCTTGGACCAGCACTCCTCAATAGGATTCAAAAATGGTGAATATGGTGGCATAAATAAAGGCTTATAGCCTCTACTTTCGATGGCATCAACAACGTAATGGGAATGATGAATTCTACAATTATCCATGACGATATAGAATCCATGCTTGTTGTGTCTGTCTAGGACATCCATGACATTTCGAACAAAGGTTACAACATGGTACGCAGTCGTACTCTTTTTTGGCTTTTCCTTTTTTGTGTCATCGGTTTTAGCCTTTCTTTTTTTGCTGGCTGGTAAAGGAAACTCTTTCTCTATCTTAGCTACATCATCTGGCTTCAAAGGCTCTACCTTGGAAAAATTGATGGTTCCAAAAGGCGATATACACCCAATAATGCTCAAGTTAACGCCCTTTTGAGTTGGAACAGAAACGATGGCAGGTGTTCCCTAGACGGACCAGGCTTTACTTCTGATCTGGTGCGCGTTGAAACCGGCCTCATCCATAAACACGCAGTTAGTTTGGAAGTCAACCCCAGCTGCTTTCCAAGCAGTTACTACGTTAAATCGAAGATCCAATGTTCTCTTCGCATCTCTTTCCATTGTATAGACATGTGAGTCTTTTAATGAAAGTCGTATCTTTTCAACCATATGCTTTCTCAATCCACTTTGGGAAATGCTAAACCCTTCAAAAGAGGAACACAGTTCCTCTCTTGCCATGTCAATGGTAATACAAGGGTTTTTGTCTACTAACTCGGCAAGAAACTCAGTTTGCTGTGCCGTGATCTCACAATTGTTTGCTCGCTTTGCCCCGCCTATTTTAGAAGGCTTCTTTAAACAGCCGATAGGAATCACGGTTCCATCACTTTCATTCCACTGTTTCAATATTTCATAGGCTGTAGAGCGTGGGATAAAACAAGTTTTGGCATGTTTAGCAACACTGTGACCTTCTTCTTGCATAAGCTGAAGAAACATTCTAATATTATCGGGCCCATAGGCTTTATATCCTGTTGTTTGGTGTGAGCTTAGGTTGATGTCACTGTTTTCCGCATCATTCTCCACTTCTTCCGATCCACTTTCCTGTTCCATCTCATCATTTACCGAGATTTGCTGAGGTACAGTCGAATCGTCGGCCAACAGAATTAATTTACCAAAAGTTGTGGCAGGGTCCTCATCCACATCCATCTCATCGATGACTTCTTCGAAATAAGGTTCTCTCATTACAAACTCGTTTGCTATGTTGTAATCTTCTGCTTGCATTTTAAATATTTTATGTTAAACGAAACTTTGAAATTAAGAAGATGAAAACGTCTGTCTGAATATTTTTTCTTAAATAATCTGAATAATTTTTTACGTTTGTCTGAAAATATTTTTTTTTAGTCTGAATTTTTTTTTGAGCTTGTCTGAAAATAATTTTCGTTTGTCTGAATTTAAAGTGATAATACTGTAGTATCACTTTTGGTTTATTTTTTATTTTGTTCTCAATGCAAAGCACTAATACAAATATCGTCTCCAAAATTGAAATTGATCGGCTTTTATTTGGTTTAAAATCAGTTTTTTGTAACTCAAGTCTGACTTTTGGTCATCTGAACTTAAAACATACATCGGCGGACGCCCAAAAATTGGCTCTAACTCAGTTACCGCAAGTAGTTTTGGGTATTACCATTATTTGGTGGTTAGGAACTATCTTAACCTATTTCCTAGCAAAACCACAAAATGTTGGAGACATTTGTTTTTATTTTATAAGTTCAGTCCCAACTCGTGGAATATTTGAAGTGAAGTTGTTTGGGAAACTTTGCTCCATTATCCTTTAAAATCCAATACTTTAGGAATTTTTGGTCCGTTGTCCGTCGAGATTTCGATACTTTTGGTACTCTGGTCCGTTATCCGTCAAGATCCCATACCTCTGGGTATTCCGGTCCGTTGTCCGTCAGGATCCGATACTTTTGGGTACTCTGGTCCGTTATCCGTTACGATTCTATAGTTTGAGATAATCTAATAACGTTTACGGAGTACCCTCAATCAATTAAAATAATCTAGAAACGTTCGTTGAATAGTTTAAGTGTTCGTAACCGAAACGGTGTTTGTGGAGGTTGGTTACAGATTTAAAAAAACTCGAACTTCATGGCAGAGCATCATCAAACTGGTTTTGCACGGCGAAAACGTACATCCATAGTCCGGCAAAAATATGTGAATGATGTGACTTGTTAATGTTTCTGTCGTAAAACGTTGATATGATTGGTTTTTTTCATCAGAGTTATAATATTACCGCAATCATTAGTACTAATATTGTGGAATGTGATTGCATAAATAACAATCCCTGACCATAACATTCGGACTATAATAACTAGAAAACTCAAATGGCATATACATATATAACCAACAATAAATACTATGATGATTCGTACGTTTCGTTGAAAATAGATGACAAGGTAAAACATTTTCCAACAATTGGATTGGCAATTGTGGGTGTGCCACAAGTTGGGACATTTGTGAGTGTTCATCGTGGGTCATCAAAAGCAATTTTGGCACGTGGATCCATTTGCTCCCAGCATACGTTTCAATGGAATAGTAACAACATTAAGGATGTTAATTAATCGCATTTAAAATTGTTCTATCATAATTAACTGTCCTTATATAAGTTCTGCGACTATTCCGGAAAGACAAAGAAATAATGCTGTTATCGAGATCACGGATATAATTTGTACCGGTTACCACTATGGCAGATTTTTTGTTTGTTGTAAACAACTTTGTTGACCATTTTTTTTTATATGTAAACGTGTTGTTGCTGGCGAAGAACTTTGGTAAATTATTGAACAAGTGTTGATTGCAGATTTCTTTATCAATTCTGGTGTCACATTTTTTTTATTCCCAACCGGACATCTAGTCGGCGTTTAAGATTCATTCACGCCATTTTGTTCATTTTTTTTTTTTTTTTTATTTTTTATTTCTATTTTTATTTTTATTTTTATTTTTATTTTTATTTTTATTTTTATTTTTATTTTTATTTTTATTTTTATTTTATTTTTATTTTTATTTTTATTTTTATTTTTATTTTATTTTTATTTTTATTTTTATCTTTATTTTGGGAATTGTTATTTTCACCCTCTCTTTTCTTATTTTCACCCCCTCGATTTTTTTTGGCTTATTACACACAAGAAATTTTTAGAAAAATTACGATTGAGATTTGGAGATTTTTTATGTGATAGAAATAAAGAAAGATAAAAAATAAAGTTGAAAGAAAAAAATAAGAATAGGCGATCAAGATGATCATTGTGTTTGTTAAGATGAGCGAGTATGTTGGGACATGACTCTTTGGGAGCGTTGTCTTGTGTCATGTCGCGGCTGTTTACAAGTTCCACAAATCCTTGTTCTTCTTTCAGCATGTTCAAAAGCGGAGGGATTTCTTCTTTTTAACGAAGTTTCATTTCTTCTCGCAGTGGAACCGGTAGGTCTTCATCTTAGCCTGGCATAGTTTCGTGGCTCTATAGGTACCAACGGCAAATGAACCAGGTCAAAAAGACGCGATACCATCTCCTCTTGTTCTTAACAAGCTGCATTTCCAAAACGGGTACGCAGCAAGTCAACGAGGTAGTCCAAATTGCTTTCCGGATCCAATTCTTCCAACTGCTCAGAGCTACGAAAATACTCAAATCTCCATTGTTGATGAAAATCATCAACTTGAAGAACTTGGCGTTGCTCCTCAAGGGCTTTGATCCTGTGTACGCATGGAATGCCAGTTGTCACCGTGTATGTATTCGTACAGTCCAACAGAGGTTGCAATGCAGAATTCTTTATTTTTTTGACTTGCTCAAGAGCTTCGGTCAAAGCGTATAAGGACACTCTTCTTATAACTCTTGTCATCATGGTTCGCTTTTCAACCTCGGTAACAACCTCGAGTTTTCGGTCCTCCAAACGAGCTTTAAATTCTCTGGCATCGACTTCAACTGTACTATTCACCAAGTTTGCCTCCTTGTCTAAATGACTAGTTGATATCTTGAGTCTTCGCTTCAACTTGTTATGAGCACCTTCAATCCTGGATGTATTGATGGCGGCAAGGTGGAGGTGCTTGTTGACCCAAGGGTTAGCAAAATGCTCTTTCCACGGCAACCATGTTGATTCAAGTTACGCAAACAGTGGGAGGTATCTTGCGTTCAACCCGTAATTATCTCTCATGACACTACAGTTTCGCTCCCACTCTTCTTCATCAAACCTATTCATACATCTATTCCATCTGATCATAAACTCGTTCCAATCATCATCTGTTCAAAAATAATCTTTGCATTTGGCCAAAACGTTCTTCGTGATATGCCAACAACTGATAAGAATGGTGCTGGAATCAAAAATTGTCTCTAAAGTAGCTTTTAATGCCAAATCACGGTCAATTGTTGTGATCGAGCTTATATACAGATATAACGCTATCATCAAATCTTTCTTCCTTATTTGATAACCTTTCTATAAATCATTATTGCATTACTCTTTAAATCAAATACATGCTATTACACTCTATTTACTACGCATTGATTACTCATCAACATATAGAAAACAATAGTCATACATTTATTCTAGATAATACAATCCAATGATATGATCGCTCGTCAATAACAAGATTCTCGAAGGTACCATGAGATGCTCGATCTTTATTTGACAATACGCCCATTGTATATTTGACAGGTTTCACTTTAATGATTGATATTCAGCCAGCCCTGAATATGTATATAAAGAACCCAATTTATTGCATAATACAGACTTTAGTTTATTTTTGCAGTTTGATCATTTTACTTCGTCAAATTTCTTTATTTTTATTCTTAATTCGTAGCTTTATCTCTCGAATTTTTCTTCAATAGCAATAATGCTAGGATCGAATGTCTCTACATAGCACCAAAAAAACTTCATACGTAATGTTGAGACCGCCCACTCATAATTGGCCTGGGTTTCGTCTTTCAAAAACACACTGCACACAAAAAATGTCTTGTTGAAGCAACCGATACCAACAACGTGCAACAATGGCATATCAAACTTGTTAGTTTTGTACGTGCAATCCATCAAAAGCACTTGAGGGAAATGCTCAACCATTTCGAAGGAATGAGAGTGCGCTAAAAAAAGTATTTTGATGGTACCGTCCTCATTCGAGTTGTACGCGTAGATAAATCCCGAGTCTGCTTTAGAAAATTGATCCAAAAGAGCTTGCAGAGGAGAGCGACCATCCAAATACTCTTCACGAATCTTCTGTCTGGCATTGTAAACCTTACTAGGTCTGAAAAAATTACGAGGGAATTTTTGGCGAAGGTAAATCAAGATATCTTGAGGAGAGCTATTAGCAATTGTCATATCCTTGATTACCTTCATGTGACGTCTCCAATCTTGCATGCAATCGAATAACCAGCGAGAGAATCAGCAGACTCAAGATGATGTCCAGTATTGTTTAAGTGCTGGGTGAATTTTGCCGCATAAACACCCTGATCTTTTCTCCAACTGGAACCGACCACCCACTTGAAAGGGCAATCGGTGCGTCTTGTCTTCGAAAGTCTTTTACCGGTGAATTTACTGCTGTTTTTTCCACCGCAATCGCACTTGAACTCCAAAGACTTAAGGCGAAGATCGGGGTCGTAACGAGAACGGCCCAAAGAAACAAGGTAGTCGTTTTCTTTGCAGTGATTGATCACATATTTTTCGAGAGTTTCGCTAGAGCTAAACTCAAGTTGAGAAGGGGCAGAAGTAGACGAAACTTCCAAGGTTCCGTCCTCGAGATTGTCGTTGAGGTCATTGTCGAGATCATCGTTAAGATCATCTACACAACCAGGTGTAAACTTTAAAATTTCAAGACCATTTTTTTCCCAAAAAAAAAAGTAAAAATAGATATGAAAATTGTTTCCTTTTTGGTTTTGTGGTTTTGTTTACGTTTCCTTGCTGTACAAACAAAACAATAAAATACAAATACAAAATACGAAAATAGTTTTTTTTTAAAATTGCCTTAAAAAGCGAAATTTATTTATATAAAAAATTGGCCCACAAAATCAGAAACCGGCAAAAAGCGCCTGTTTGCCCCTCGGGGCTATGCAGGCCGACCAGGCAGGCTATTCAGCCTTGACAGACAGGGCAGACCACGTAGCCCAGACAGGCCACGTATGACACGTATAGCAGACAGTGAATTCAAGCTAGAAAACCCACGCAAAACTGATTCTGTTTGAGCTGAAGCTACGGAAAAAGGTCTTAATGTGATATTCAAGTGTCTGTGGTAGATGTTGTACTTACATTTTATCCGTGCTTAAGCAGTATCACGAGCTAATTTATAAAGTGAATAATGTGTTTAGTAAAACGGATAATGATTAATGTTAAAATTATAGTACCTTGTATGAAGCTTTACGCGATATATCTATTGACAAATGAAACGCGTTATGTATTAGTTTAGGATGTAAAATTATCACCAAGATATTACTTACGGTATTTCAAAGAGAAAAGAGCCTCTAAAAAATAAAAAGGCGTTTGTTAATGATATATTATTACAGGGAAGCACAGTACAGAATAAAGTATACCTTTATAGATACACATCTTGAAAATAAAAGGGGATAGAAGATTATATTATTGCATAAGTCATGAAATAGCTACCTTTTTCGCGTTTGACTTTGATTAAATTGAATGTGAGAGAAGGATTAGTAGAATGCCTTATGATAGTATTGTTAAGACAGATGTTCTATGACATACCATTGTTCATAAGCATCATAATATTACAAGCAATAATCACGCGTTTGTGAAGACACGCCACGGTTAAAAAAAAATACGTAAGAGAAAGAAAAGCGACCTAAGAAAGTTGGGTTGCGTGACAAAATATCGTTCCGCAATGACGTTTGTAAATTATTGCACCAATCAAATTGACAGCTTATGTCCGCATAAGCTAAGCATTAAACACATTTTTTGATCTGAACGATATATAAACCAAACACAATCCCCAGAGTGCACTTTATCAAAATTCTTTATTTTATTATAAACAACTTACTTTAATTTTAAAACACTATGAAAAAAACACCTGGAACAAATAAGTTCCGTGCAAAACCTGCCTTACCGCCTCAGGAGCAAACGTGTGTGTTATGTAAATACAGTACAATTAATCGACACTCTTTTAAAGTGCATCAACGATCAGGACACCACTTAGAACTTCTGGAGGCGATTCAGTCGAATCAAGGATCACTACCTGCCAATGACATCCAACAACAGTAAGTGAGCGTCTTCATCAATTTAAAAATAGTCAGTTTTTACTTATCATTATTATTTTTAGGAATACCTCTGACGAACAACCTACTATCCCGCTAAGCGAATCTCGTAGTTCTGATATGGGTCCATTGAAAGGTAAAGTTATTTAAGGCTGTTAAATATATTCAAATTACTTACATCAATATACATTAGACCAATCCAACCTGAACGCACTGCCGAACCATTGTCTGAACCTGCAAATGAATTTGATGAAAATCAATATGATGATTATGATGGTGACGGTGATGATGATGGGCGTGATGATGGTGAAGAAGAATTCGATGGTGGTAATGCCTTTGACCATTTCAACAATGATTTTAACAACGGAGGGGAATCTGATGATGATAGCGAATCTAATGAACCTCCCGTTCCTGTTAACGACGTCAACAACGGCTCTAATGGTGATGGTGGTGATGGTGGTGATGATGGTAATGATGAATATCTTGATTTGAGTGGTGATGTCAACGACAATCCAGCATATCCTTTCAAAAATGAATACATAATGCATGCCCTTCTTTTCTTCAAGTCTGGTAGCTTTAAGTATTCAGAAGTCCAAATCAAATCAGTTCTTGATTTTGGTAAATATATGGCTGAAATTGCAATCAAAGAGTACAGAGCTCAACTAGCTTTGGATCCTTCTGATGTTATTTATGATTTCCGTGGTTATCCCACTCCCCACAGCGTTTCCAGATTTCACAAATCCAAGAAATGTTGTATACCTTGTTTTCCTCATGCTCCCCATTGTGCGAAAGATGATAACGGCGGACTTCTTGTCGAACCTACTGAACCTGGCCACATCAACTAGCACATCTGATACTGCTACAGCAGCTGACGCCTCTGCTCCTGCTCCTGCCTCTACCTCTGCTCCTGCCTCTACCTCTGCTCCTGCCTCTACCTCTGCTTCTGCCAATACCTCTGCTCCTGCCACTGATCCTGCTGCAACAACAAATACAACTGCTTCTGCACCCGCTGTTCCTGTTGTTGTCGCATCAAAGCCTGACTTGTTTCTTAATGATGTATCTGAACACTTGCGACTTCTCGTAGGTAATCCCTGTATGTCTGGTTTCCTGTCAGATCTTCCTGATCGAACACCTAACCAACGAATCAAGCTAAGTCAAGGTGAAAAGTGGAATTGTGATAGATTGTTTGAGCATCCTATGATAATTACTGGTCCAAATCTTCAACTCTGGGTATCGGATAAAGTCTCTTTGCTGTCTGAGAGCAATATTCCTCTTCGTGATCGCCATTATTTCAAAGTGGCCAAGATATTCCAAATATCAAAAGTTGTGAACGTTGATTTGTATCCAATTAAATCCGATAATAATCTTGAAATGTGCTGTTTATACGACATCCTTCTCCACTGTCCCATAACCGACCTTGACATCAATAATGTCTTTCGTGCCGAACATGAATCCTTCGATGCATTTACTAGCTTACAACAAATAAATGGTGACGATTATCTTTGTTCTAGAGATGTTGTTGCTAATACTCGATTGATTCGCGCTCATCATGACATGATTGATACTGGTAATAAGTACAAGCGTCCACTGCCCATTAGATCACGTATAAGAAGCATAAATCCCAATTCGCCAAACTACCAGGTCGTTAGAGTAATTCCGTACAACCTTTTCTCTGATGATACCAGTGGTAATTCCACATCAAAATGGAATTGTTTCGATTCGTGGTCGATGAATCCTGCCGCTGTTCCTCTTAGTGTTGCCAATCATTATTTGAATCAATTTTTTATATGTGGATCAAATCGCCATACTGCATATGGAACAGTTGCCTTCCCTTGTCCCCGATTTAAAGAAACTGGAAACTGGTCTGCCGATGTTTGATGCTATTCTCAAGGAAGAAGTCTTTGTTCTTGCTCCTCTTTTGTTTATCAAGGCTGACAATCCTCGTCATGCCGAGGTTTCTTGTTTGAAAGCTTCAACAGCTACTTATCCGTGTAGAAAATGCTTCTGGTGTCGACATGCTGATGCTTTTGATCCTAATAGAATTACCACGGCCGAAGAACACATGTCAGTTCCAAGAGAAAAAGGTCACTGGATGAGTTTATTTCCAAGCGATGACTCGGATAGTACTGATTTCTCGATACGTGTTCGTAACAGACAGGGTGATTATATCATGGTCGAAAACTTGATGGACCTCGGCTTCAAGGAAACTGCTGGCAAAAGGCTTTTGACGTTGTCTTCTTGGGATCCTAGCAAGGATACACCGGTAGAAATTCTGCATGGCCTATGTCTCGGTTTAATCAAATACACGTTCAACAAAGCTGCTGATTGCTTTTTCAACAAGAAGCAGGTTGATCGCATTAGTATTTTGTGTGCAAAGTATGGGTCTAAGGCTTTTACCAATTTGTCGACGCATCTCAAAGGATACAAAAGCTTTCTTGGAAGAGACTTCAAACTTATGATTCAGATGCTCCCAATTGTTCTCAGAGTTGCTCGTGGCCACATTGATTTCCTCAACCTTCGTAATGATCAATTCCACCGAATGGATAACGTTATTAGTACTTTTGACAAGCTTGGTGAGCTTTGCTCATTGTGTTATAACTGTGAAATACATACCAACTTTTCTGCCTATCTCGATTTATTGCGTCAATCCGTTGATGATACTGTTATTGCTCTGGGTAACCTTGATCGTACCGTTGTTCCCAGTAACCGACGTACTCGTGGAGAGCCAGCAACAGCAACGACAACTGCATCAGTGCCCAGTCAAACTACTTCTGAAGAGATCTATGGTCTTTCAGGTGAACAATCTAATGGTGCTACGATTCCATACGCCAAAACTGGTGGTCCATTGTGTAATCGTTTAAAGACTCATTTGATAGTCCATTTGGTAGAGGATTGTCTTCGATTTGCTTCTCCTATGCTTCTCGCAACTGAAAAGAACGAGCAATTCAACAAACACATTAGGGCAATTGTCATGAAGACCAACAAACAAAACCCTTCTCGTGATTTGGCTCTTATTAACGGTCGTGAGGTAATGCTGAGAAGTATTGCGATGGGTCTTGTTTGGGATAACGGTATGAAAACTCGTGGTAGTCTGGTCAAAGCGTGGTTTGATAGGTACAGTGAGGACATGTACTATTCTGCTAATCGGGAATTCGGCAGTACTGAATATATTGCTGGAAAGAAGATTGCTTTGAACATGACGGCTATTCTCGATGTTGACTTGGATTCTCTTGGGGCGCGTCGTCTGCTTGGAAAGGTGGTAAAACTTCGCGGCGATCAGGCTATTGTTGAGGTGTATGAACTTGTTCCCAGGCCAGCCTTCGTGATTCACGATGACAGTAGCCTCATTTCTGTCTATCAAGCTGACGAAGGTGGTAATCTCCTCACCAAGAAAACTGAAGAAATCTTGGACTTGCTGGAGTATAAACTGACTGTGGTGGAATTACTTGACATGTCTCAGGAAACTGAGATTGACACTGTCAAGTATTCTCTTATCAACAAGTGCAAGTTCGGTACTTTCTGGTGGCTCCATAACACTAATCGTTATTTCAAAATTTTAGAAAATGAAAGAAACTAATCATTTTGTTTTTTTTACATGTCATTTTTTCAAAAAAAATAAAAGTCTCTTCCATTTTGTTATCCAATAAAAATGCTTAGCTGCACGAATCGCTATCCTGACCCCCATAAAAGACGCTAAAGTAGTTTTCAAGGTGCAAAAAACCTTCATTCAGTTGTTTATTTCATAACATCTGGCCTTCAATCACGTATTTTGTTTTTTCGCCCAATCGCAAAGTTTTATTTTTTTAAAAAAAAATTCTGACACGGGAATTTACTTTTTGGTGCAGAATTTAAGAAATATTTAAAGTTTTCAACTGGTTGTGTACCTCGTTGACTCTTTCAAAATTTCTTCTGGTTCGAAAGGGCAGGGGCTCCTGAAAATCATCGTCAGAAAGGTAAGAGATGTTTTCGTTTGATAAAAGCATTGAAACAATAAAAAGTTCAGATAAACGTACCGGGATTGGGATGGAAGTAAAAAGGTACAATTTATTAATGCTTTGACAGAGCAGTCCCGCCAAAATTTCAAAATTTAAGTGTAATCAAATCCGCACTTTCATAGGGCAAAAAAGGCCAAAAAGAATTGAGGGGGTGAAAATAAGAAAAGAGGTGGTGAAAATAACAATTCCCTTTATTTTTATTTTTATTTTTATAGGTGCTCTCAAGGTAAGATTCGGAATGGTGATCGAGCCTTTTTTGGGAGTGTACCCAATTTCTTAAATTAAACAATAAAATAAAATTCAATGATCAGGTGATGACGTGACAGCTTTTTACTTTCGAATCTACTAAAGGACCAGCGTGATTTTATTAAATCAAAGAAAATAAAAAATAAAATATTTCCTTTTCGCTTATCTTAATTTTTTTAAAGTACCTATTTAACATGAACCCAATTGACGAAACTTTCTTCGACATGATGCAAGAACAACTTTGGATGGAAGATGACGCTGAACATTTCGAAGACGAAGATCAATATTTCGATGCCTTGGTGAACGAAATTAGTGCAATGGACGAAGAGTACGATTTGGAAGAGCAAATGCTTGAACATGAGGTAGCCATTGTCGAAGAGCGCGTTGTTGCAGACTTCACTCGCACCCAAGGCAACCAAGATGTCTTTTCCTTGTTTGAAATTTGGATCAGGGAAACAATTTTACATGTAACCACTCTTGTCAACTATGAAATTTTTTATTATATTTTTATAGGCAGCCCTTGAATGATGACCAGAGAAGGCCACAGCAAGGTTGTTAGAACCGAGCGTATGGACACGTATGAAACTTACTGGACAATCAAGCACCCTAACCAGACAGATGATCGTAACAGCCGCCACAGTTATAGAGCCTATTATCGCGTTAACAAGAGTACCTTTGAGTGGCTCGTCAATCCTTTGAGTAGATGTTCTGCTTATCTTGGATCAATTTCCGAGGTGGATACTCTGTGGAAGCCCAAGTTGCGTGTGTGCTTTGGAGATTTTCCAACACCCATTTTGGTTATCGCGTTGCTGAAACACATCTTGGAGTAGCTGCCGGATCGTTCAATAATTTCACAAACAGATTTATTGATGCCATGTTGGAGATTACTTCCGAAATTATAACTTGGCCTATTGACGACAGAGATAGAGCTTTAAACAATGCTCGTGAGTTTTCAGAACTTGGTGGACCTGATGCCACGAGACGTTTTGGTGTACTAGGTGCGATTGATGGCAAGCTGGTCGTCATTCAAAAGCCAGCAATTAACGGAAATGCATATGTCGATAGAAAGAGCCACGCATCTATGAACTTAATGGCCATAAGCGATGCCCGTACTCGGTTTATGTACGTAAAAACTGGGCATTCCGGTAAGTTCGTATGGAAGGATAAAAAATGATATAGCAGCTTACCGTTTGTTATTATATTAAGGCAGAAACCATGATGCCCGAGTGTTTACTAGCAGTGTGATCTATCATAAACTTTTGTTTGATGCGGCCAGTTGGTGTCCCGCAAACACTTATATTTTGGGAGGTAAACTCATTAATCATACCATAGTGTACAAATTATTAATGATGTGACCTAGATTCGGCTTACCCTTTGCTGCCAGACCTCATTGTTCGATTCCATAGCCGACGTGAAAGCACTGCAGAAGAAAAGATTTTCAATGAAATCTTTTCTAGTTCTCGCATAAAAATAGAACATGCATTTGGTGGACTCACATCCCGGTGGAGATTCCTTTGGAAGCATTTGTATATGCTTAGTGTTGATAGAATGGCCAAAACTATCATATCTTGCTGTGATTTACACAACATTTGTATAAATCAAAATGACATTGAAGAGGCAGTGTTGGATGGAGGATTAGATTTCGAGGGTTTTGTGGAGGCAGATCGCCGAAACCAGTATGAAAACGAGGTGAATTTTGAACCCCGTCTTCCTTTTGATGGTACCAGCGCTACCATCGACGCAGCCGGGATGCGCCGTCTTAAGGCAATGTCTATCTTAAGAAGAAACAATATCATGAGGGGAACAGATAGACTTTCATAGTTTTCAAAAGGTTTTAATGAATTAAAAATTTTATTTTATTTAATTAATTATTGTTGTCAGTAGAAGATGAACCATTAAGATTGGTACCACTATCACCTCTTCGAATGGCTGCGAATCTATTCAGGATATTCTCCATATCAGACATACGTCTACGTCTATGCTCTTCCATGTCAGCCTCTCGTCTATTTCTTGCTTCTTCGAACATAATTTATCTCTCTCTGGTCTCTTGTTGCCGTCTTGCTTGCATATATTCCAATGCAATTTGTCGATTACGACTGATACGTTGCAACATGTTATCAACATCGAGAAGTCTTTGTTCTCGATCTTCCCTTTGTGATGCTGCCATGCGATCCATCATCTCTACACCAAGTTGGCTGGCACGTGCCATATGCTCGTCTGACAACTGACGAGCAGCTTCAATAGGATCAGTTGATGAAGACTGCTCACCAGAAGTTCGACTATTTCTCGATTTACGGGTAGATCTTGGTGGAGGTGGTGCAGATGAAGGTGGAGGTGGAGGTGGTGCAGACAAGGTGGAGGTGGAGGTTGTGCGGATGTATATGGAGGTGGAGGTGGAGGTGGTGCGGTTGTATATGGAGGCGGAGGTGTGGATGAAGGTGGTGGTGGAGGTGTTACGCCTGTCGATGTTGGTGCTGCAGATGCTGATGTAAGTGTTGGTGTTGGTGTTGGTGGTTCGGTTGTTGGTGTTGAGGTTGGTACGGCTGTTGGTGTTGGTGTGGGTGTTGGTGTTGGTGCTGTTGCTAGTGTTGGTGTTGGTGCTGGTGCTGTTGTTGGTGGGGGAGGTGCGGATACTGATTCAAAAAATGATGGCACTGCAGGTCCTTCGTTGTTGGTAGAATCTCTAGCAGGATATCGATCAGCAAATGCTTTCTGAATTACAAGTTAGTCAACTTCTATACGTCCCAAGTATGTTGTTTCAGGGCCATCGGATCCAACAGTATTCAACAAATTGGCGTCGTTAAATCGTCTGTAAGACCGAATACCACTCTCTTGCATGTTGATGCTTTTGTAAATCACTTCAGGTTGGATGCTGGGATTATCCTGAGTAATCTTAGCAATTTCCTCGTAGTACGGCATGTTTGGAACAGTTCCACCAACTCCGGTTTCTCTTGCTGCATTTCTTACTCTGGTAAAACACTGCTTCATATCTGCCCACTTTCTTTGCATACTTTTTTCGCTGATGTTTGCCAAAAAAGCCCTGAGTACATCGGTTCTAGCATTCTGAGCTAACTTTTCCTTCAGCAAAGCAGCCGAATGTACCCAGATAAGCTGCTTTAAGGCAGTATCACTTCTTCACAGCAAGTAGCTGTAGGTACCAGCCATAATTTCAAGGAGGATACAAATAGCAACATCAGGCCATACATTGTAGGACCGTGAAGATGGTTGTTCAGGCTCATCGTCATCATTGACATTGGCGTTACTGTCAGCTTCGGTGTTACCGTTGTTAACAGGAGTGGTGTTTTGCTGAACGGTAGGATCGACAACAAACACAAAAGTGCCAGCGCGTCTGCCACGTCCACGTCTGACTCCACGTCCATTTCCACGACCGCGTCCACGACCACGTACGTTGTTTGTGGCATTGGTATTAGCTTCGGTATTGTTCATAGTAAGGTAAGTGACAAAATGTATTTGACAAATTAAAGGGAAAGAAAAATAAAAATAAAAAAAACACTGGATTTAAAGAAGGTCGTTATTTTATCATTTCCTTTTCAAGTAAACAGTTTTGAAAACAAGATCACTTTGATCATGTTTTTATTTGATTCCTTATATGTATATGTATTATTTTGCCCAAATTTAGCTCTACCTTTCAGAGACTTTTTTCACTATTTTGTATAAAAAATGGGCTATTTATTTTCGGTTTCCGATCTTGAGAGTAGCTTATATGAGGTTATAAGTAGTCACAATAATGTCAGTTATTGTGGATTACGATCGTGTAACCTAATTCGACTACGGTATAATATGGCTAAATACCGCACCCGGGCTGTAACAGAAATCTCTTTGTGGCGACTTAATATTTCGATTGTTAATTTGTATTTTATTTCCTGTTTTACGTACATTTAGGCAGTACACAGAATTAAGGTACCTTAGGTTAGCCCAAGACGGAGATGAAAATGGTAACAAATCTTTTAATGTAGGTGGGTGAGGTGGATCTTCTCGTGAGAGTGAGGTTTTCTAGTGCCGCTAGTACTACGAAGGCTGTAACTATTGGGGTCATGGTTGGTAAATTCTGCTTCAAAGCATCTCCTTCAGTTGATATCATGTCGAATAGCAACTTGATGCACGTCAAGTTAAGCATGATTCGTATTCCCGATGAAGAAAAATTTATGGCAAATCTTCAAAAGCCGCTCACAAGCACATAAAAAAATTTTAATGGTCCAAATATATGCAATTCGTAATAAGAGCCCAATAACAAAAATTCATCTTTTCATCAAAGGCGTCATTTAGTATCATCTAAAAAATAATGGCCAATAACAAAGTATCATCTGAAATATAAGAACCAACGACAGTTTGTTTCACGTCGTATCCTGTATCAAATAACGCAAAAAATATGCTATAGTACATGATGTATCCTGGTAATAATCTCATACACGGGTATTGAGTGTCCAATGCACGCACAGAATACATTACACGATACGGCCTATATTCTTCCCATAGTACGGCACAGAATATACCGCGTATCACGTTGAAATACGTAGCAGAATATATGAAATATTTTGTACCGTGTCCTGCATGCGCGGAGTATACCCAAAACTGTTGCACTAGGATATTGTGAAGGTTACGACGTGTACCCTATTATATCACGGTCAAATCACAAAAGTCTCCAACGAATGTTATCTAATTCCTACTGATTAGTAAACGTTTTAAAATTTCTAGAATACAGAGTTGCATTTCAAAAACGTACCTAGCAAGTACTTTGCATCAAATACGTTGTTACACCTAGCATGAATTACACGAAAATAATTAATACTTTATAGTCCTGCTACAGACTATTATCGCGATTTCAAATTTTCAGAAACGGCCGCTAGCCTAATACACACATCGGCTCAAAAATTGAGATTGGTCTGACTTTTATTTCATTTAGAAATCAGTTTTTTGCAATGTAAAGTCTGAGTTTTGGTCCTCCGGATTTAAAACATTCATATGAGGACGCACAAAAGTTGGCTCTCACTCGACTACCGCAAGCAGTTTTTGGTAATACCATTATTTGCTGGTTAGGAACTATCTGAACCTATATCTTAGCAAAACCACAAATTAAAGACATTTTAAAGTTTTGGCCCAATTCGTGGAATGTTTGAGGTGAAGTCGTTTTCGGAACTCTGGTCCATTATCCGTCAAGATCCTATACGTTTGGAAACTCCGGTCCGTTATCCGTCAAAATCTTATACTTTTAGGAACTCTGGTCCGTTATCCGTCAAGATCCTATACTTTTGGGCACTCTGGTCCGTTATCCGTCAAGATTCTATACTTTGGGGAGCTATGGTCCGTTATCCCTCAAGATCCTATACTTTTGAGAACTCTGATCTGTTATCCGTTACGATCCTATGGTTTGGGATGATCTAATAATGTTTACGGAGTAGCCTCAATAAATTAAAATAATCTATAACGTGCCTCCAGTTTTAAATAGCGATTTTTTTTTGTATTTTTTAATTGCCTAAAACTTTCCCAAATCAACCGATATACCAATTCGAATCAAAAGATATTATTTAAAGAGTCTTTATAAACAATATCTTATGAATAAAAAAATACTTTTACTGCAAAAAAAAAAAGTTGTAGGACATCAAAGTTGGTCGCTTTTCAAAAAATTAAGCGGGGGCGTATAAGTGGGGTTGGAGATTTGAAACACTACTATGCACACCCCATTAAGTTCATTCTCCGTTCATGTAAATGTCAGCCAATAGAATGGCCTTATTCCTACTGAGAAATGTGTCATAAATTTTTTTCGCCAAAAAAACCCAGTCCCACTGGAATCCCTAACATGGCAGATCTTGTAAATGCTTAAGGTTTTCCAAAAATAAATTCTATGAAATATTTAGTTACATAAAACAAAAGAGAAAACTATGTACAACAATGCCTTATGATTCCTTTTTTTAACTTATAAGAAAAAAAGTAAAGTATTTACGACTTCTATCATTTTCGGTCGTTACACCACTATGTCGCGCATGTAGTATTACCCCTGATACATATTCCTTTTTGGGTGAGCCGATTTGACATATTTTTAAAGTTTTAAGGTTTTAAGGTTTTCTAAATAAATCCTCTACAAATTGTTTAGATATAAATTTAGGTAGCTAAAACTGTATACAATCATGTCTTAAGGTACCTTTATTACTTTATATAAAAATAAATGCTGAGAGTCTTTTCATTGTCGCCTCCTAAAATCAAACGGGGACAATCTTACGCGTCTGACGAATGTTAAATGCTCCTTTTTATCCTTTTTGCAATTTTTCTATCATAACATGCCCAGACCTACAAAAAACAAAAGGCTATTAGAAACAGACTTAGAAGAGAAGATGGATGCATTCAATCTGCCGAAGTGGTACTCGCTGAATGGGAAACCATTGAATTAAATCACGATCAACTAGTCGAGCAAGCCGAGGTTGTAAGAGCTGAGGCGAGTTCTCTTGATATTATTTCAGATAGCAATACAGAAATAAGTAAAAGACCACTTACGTACACTGGTACATCCAGAACAACAAAATGGAGAAAGAATGCCGAGGCTGCAAAGGTAGATCCAGCCCAGACTCTTCAACGTTTTGGATTTACTGTTGCAAAAAGTGTAGAAACTCAGCAATTAACAAAGTTCATTCCTCACACGGAAAAAGAAATCGAAGGCATCAAAAAAATTATGCCTGCTGTCAAGGCTCTTATTTTACCCGTAATGAGTAAGAAGAACGACGATAATGCTCGTGCATCATACAACAATGCTAGGTATTTATCTGTGTACGAATATTGCTTGAATCGTTTGGGTGGAAAAAAGAAAGGATTGGCTTCAGAAGAAGCAGCCGAAAAATTCTGGCCCCAAAATTCAAAGGAATACCGTGGGATGAGCATTGTCAAGTGGACAAAGGAGTTCATTGACGAAGGTAAGCTTTCTGACCACTCCCAAGGCGCCCATGTTAAAAGAGTATCACTTTTAAGTGACTCGGATGTCAAGATGGCCGTTTTGGAAGAAATTCGAAAGATGAAACCAGCTCTTCGTTCCTTGATTATCATCAAAAAGATTATCGACGAGCAAATCATTCCTTCTGTTCTTGGGGTGGCTGAAAGTGACTTAAGTATGACAACAATTTCCCGTTATTTGTACGAATGGGGATATTCATACCGAAAAAATAAAAAGACTATTTTTTTCGATCGCCATGAAAGAGAAGATGTGATCAACTACCGAGATGAATGGTCTAAAAGAATGGTCGAATACATGAAAAGATCAGAATTTTATGCTGGTGACAATGAGGAGGAGATTCTTGAGCCAGTTTTGGATGAAGGTATAAAACAAATTGTGTTTGTTACGCACGATGAATCCACATTTTATGCAAATGATGGTAAGGATGATCTGTGGTTGTTAGAAGGTGAGAACCATATCAGAAAGAAGGGCCCAGGATCGTCAATAATGGTCAGTGAATTTCAATGCCATTGCCATGGAACCATGAAGAATGCTGGTTGGACTTCTAGAAGATTTTTCAAAGCGGGTGTGGGCAGAGAAGGGTACTGGAAGTACACTGACATGTTGGAGCAGCTTCAAGACGATGCAATCCCTTTGTTTGAGCTGCTCCACCCTGGTTGTCAAGCTGTTTTCCTCTTTGACAACAGTTCCAATCACAATGCATTCGGTGATGATGCTCTTGTTGCAAGTGGTATGACACTTAATGAGAAGCCATACAAAGATAACGAAAAGTATCAGTTCAAAGACACGACTGTAATTTTAACCGATGGCACCCGCTTGGAGCAGTCTTTCTTTTACACCAAGAAGACCAGTGTCACCAACAGACTGGGGTATGTAGTGAAGACAAAGAAGACACGATACTTCAAAGGTATTCGAAAGATTTTGGAGGAAAGAGGCCAATGGCTTGGTCGTGATCTGCAAGGCAAGGCTTGGAAAATGCTATGTAAGTCGAAGGAGCCAGGCCACAGATCAATGTGTTGGGCTCGTCACTTTCTTGAAAGTAGACCCGACTTTGTGGCGCAAAAGTCGGCTTTGCAGCAAGCCGTTATTGACTCAGGTCACATTTTTGAGTCATAACCAAAATATCATTGTGAATGCAACTGGATAGAAATGTACTGGGGTTCCGCCAAAAGGGAGGCACGTTTGAGATGTGATTACACATTCAAGTCTCTTGATGATAACTTATCAAGCTATTTGGATAAAGCTTCCAATGTAGTTCATATAAAAAATTTTTTTCAAAGGTCTATGAACTACATTGAAGCATATAGTAACTGTAGTGACGGTAGAGAAGTCGTGCAGGAAGTAAAAAAATTTGTCAGCAAGTCTTATTTATCTCACAGAAAAGTTAGACTTGATACTGGTTTATTGACTTAATAAAAAAAATTGCACAATGAGCATGGTCACAATGAGTCAAAACCATTAAGAATGAACATTCAGATGTATGTCTAGCTTAGGGATTCTACAAAAAAAAAAAACACATCCCACCATTTCGATTTCGAAAAAAAAATTTGAAACAAAATTCAAAAAATCGCTATTTAAAACTGGAGGCACGTTAAACGTTCGTTTAATAATTTAAGTGTTCTTAACCACTACGGAGATTATGGACGTTCGTTACAGATTTTAAAGAAACTCGGACTTCATGGCAGAACATCGTCAAACTTGTTTTGCACGGCGAAAACGTACATACATGGCCTGGCAAAAATATGTCATTGATGTCACTTTTTAATGTTTCTGTCGTAAAACGTTGATGTCATTTGTTTTTTTATCAGAGTTACAATATTACCACAATCAATAGTACTAATATATTGGAATGTGATTGCATAAATAAAAATCCTTCACCATAACATTCGGACTAAAATAACTAGAAAACTCAAATGTCATATCTGTAACCCAGTATTCATATTATAATGATTGTTTTGACTTTGTAGTATATACCAAATTTAGTAATTCGGTTTGTTCTTTTTTTTGCGCACCAAACGATGCACAAGTCAAAGCTACAGACATGTATGGGAATAATACACACTGAGTAAAAACAATTGATTGTCCCTTTCTGAAAACTGGTTGTCACAACTTTAAATTAAAAATAAAAAAGCTTTGACTTTGTTCAGCTAATTTTTTCAGAAGCAACAACTAATGTCTAACATTGGCGAAGCCGAATTCATTCAATTCAGTGGCGTTAGTCTTTGACGCAGACGCAGAGCCAGATATACCCCAGCATAATTAGCTAATACCAAAAGTTAGAAGACAATCAAGACAAATTAACATGGCCAGTGCCCCAAGAATCAGTAACAGTAATAGAGACTCTAAGAATCAACCAGAGATTCAGAATAACGCCACTAACAGGGCCGATCACGAACGTAACTAACGATTTTTCACAGGTAAAATGAAATTGGAACGCCTAAAAAACTTTCTAATCTTTTTCTCTATCTCACCAGAGATTATGACTTGAATCGTTCGTGCCACAATAGCTTTGAAGAGATGAATTTTCTTCGTTAACGTAGAGGTATATACTGTGAATATTTGCCTTCCGATTTTTTTGACGTTATAATGTACGAGGGATGATAGAACGATGCTCAAATTCTAATGCTGTGCGGGTTAAAGAAGAACAAGTAAAGAATCAAAACATTTCTGTTTAATGCAACAATAAAAAAGTCAAAATCAATATAGCTGCCATGTCGACTACTTTCATGCGAACACTTTTGGCTGGAAAACATCTTACGAGTACTGAATTCCGAAAGAATATTGGAATGTACAACGATAGAGGTTTCAGAATCAAAAATCTAAAATTCTGCAAAAATATTTCTGTGATATGATTTTTCAATGATTTTTTCCAAGTTTTTGCAACAAAACAGTTGCAAAAACAGAAAAAAGTCTAAATTAACATAAACATTTTGTGTTCCATGACACAATATCTCATATTTCATCGACATATTTCGCTTATTCATCGCTTTTTTTTAAAAACTTAAGAAAATAAACTATTCAAATTTTTAACCATGGATAACACGAAGCTTTTGGCAAACAATACTGATAGTCACTCATCTATAACCGCTCCTAACATCCGGAATGATCAGGGTAAAGAGAGGGAGATGTTACCCAGAAATGAGGAATTAAACAACAAGCGGAATACTTTACAAGTACGCAGTCTGATGATCAACATAGAAAAAACAGGTCATGGTTTGGTGGGGAAGGTCATGACAATAAACCGGCAATGGACCGCGTGAAAAATTTCTTGTTGGTTAATAATGGGAACTACCTTGACATATGGAGTGGTATTCCGGATAAAATAACCGGAAAAACAACCCAGGGACAATCACGAACATGGGTATCTCAACAATGTGCGAACGAGTTTGCCAAGCAAGGCGTCAAACGCAAGAAGGAAACTATTTGCACCAAATTATGAATATATCGGCGTCTTATGGAGAATCGACAAAACTCTTCTACCAAATGGGTGTAGTAGCTAAAGGAAATGTCCCACGTGTAAGCATTTCCGAAGAATTCAAGAGTAAGCGATGTAATATAGTGTCCTTTATACCATGCTCACCTATAGATAATTGTACTGGATTTCCCACCATATTTTCAAAAAATAGTCCCTAATTTTTCAAAAAGGCATCAGTAATTTTTCAAAAAGCGCTCCACTATTTTTTCAAAAAGTTCAATCTAATTTTTTAAAAAGATACTAATATTTTTTCAAAAGACAAGTAGTTTTTTTATAATTGTTTATTAACTTAAAGCATTTTTTCCATAGCAATACATCGAGGAAAGAAGCTAACCGAATGTCGAATCCATCCACGACAATCCTGTAAAGTTACATTTGTAACTGACTCCATAATTCGAGGAGTCAAAAGATCGCCTGTGTCCAAAGGGTTTCTTTTAATACCACTCTTTACCTTCGACCAAAATTCCTCAATTGGATTAAGAAAGGGGGAATATGGAGGCAAATAAACGCACTTATAGCCTCTTTCTTCTATTAACGCTCTGATTGCAATTGGTTTGTGGATTGGTGCATTATCCATTACAAGATAATAGCCGTGTAATCCATTTCTATCTAAACAATCCGTCATGCTGCTAAGATAGCTCATGAAATGAGATGATCTTGTACCCACTCTACCATTTACGACAACTTCTTTACCATTGACCTTTCTCTTTTTGCTCCCCGTTGTTGAGGTAGGCTTTCTTAATGATATGTCAATTACACCGTCAGTTGAAATTGCGCCTAAAATAGTGATTGACGTGCTGCGAGAGGTAGGTACAATAGCCTTGGCAGGCTTGCCTTTCTTTGACCAACCTCTGTTACGGGTGATATTTATGTTAAACCCTGCTTCGTCTATGAACACGCAGTTTTTTTCAAAGTCCATATCCTCGTTAGCAATCCAATCCTCTACCGACTCTCGACGTTGAGTGATTACATCAATGTGGTTTCGTCTTGCAGGTATTTTCTCAAGTCGTTTCATAGATAAAGCACATCTTTCTCTCATAAATCTATGCAATGCTGACTTACTCACCTGAATATTCTCATCCGAAAAATGATTCGTCAAATCTTCCAGAACTTGAGCAAGTACAGCAGTAGGTCTTTCGTCGATGTACTTGATGATCCAGTCTGCATGCCTGTCTTTTAATTTGAATCGGGATCCCTTAGGACCTCGTTTCTTTCTTTCAGGGATTCCCAATTCTGGGTCTTCTCTATACTTTTTTCTATAATTATAACCAGAGTGCAATCTAATACCAGTTGAATTACAGGCTGATTTCACATCGGAGCCAGCAGCGATCAAGTCAATGAACATTCCTATCTGTTCATCTTTATACTTCATGTGGATTCTTTTCTTTTTATCCTCGTGCTTAAATTCGGGCTGGTTATAATGAAGGTCACAATAGTTCTTTACACGAATATGTGCTTCTTCTAAAGTCTCATCAATGCGGGCACTCTCTTCATCCGAACTTTTGTTGCTGTCTTCGTCATTACTATCAGGGAAAACCTCCAAATCGTCAGCAATATCCTCATCTACTTCCATGGCACTTTCAGTAACACTAGATGCCGATCCAGCACTTTTTTGGTATAAGTGAACGTACAGCTCTTCAGTCTCCTCGTCACCTTCTACATCAAGATTAAGATCGCTCATAAAAACGTCAATGGACATGGTAAAAGTTTTTCGAAAAATTAAGGTTATGTTTTTGAAAAATTAAAAGAAGCTTTTTGAAAAAACAGTGAAAGGCTTTTTGAAAAATTACTGCGGACTTTTTGAAAAATTAGGGACTATTTTTTGAAAATACGGTGGGAAATCCAGTATGGGAGGAAAATTGAGCCAAAATGGTTTTCAGGTGTGACTGGGTTTTTCTAGAGCTAGATAATAACTGGGGTATTTGTTGACTTAATTTTTCTCTCGAACTTTCTTTCATTTATAACAATTACTCATTCTGAATTCTTCTTCATTCTACGGGATCACTCCTACGCTTATTGATTAAGGTGCTGTTGCCATCGGGGAATGCGTAATCTGGTAAGACTTGTATGGGCTGAAGGATGCGCTGACGAACGGTTATACTTTGAAAACTCTCTCCAAGTCGACTTTGGTCCGTTGAGAATTAATAGACTGTAGTACTTAGTAATGCGAAGCTGGTTACAAGCACTTTAAGCAAATAATGCCTTTTTTGCCATCCTACGTATTAGCTACTTAATTTGCTGAATAGTTCAAACGCTCTCTTCAAGTAGATTTAGGTCCGTTGAGAGTTTATAGGCTTTTTTTTTTTTTCGGTAGTCCTATGTTTGCTATCAGTATTTTAAGCGACTAACGCGTTTCGGTTCTCTCCTTCATATTGATTGCTTCACCAGGTGCTCCCGCTTTTGTTAAGTACTCTGCATAATATATTAATCATTACAAAACGAATAACTTTTTGGTTCTAATTGTTAGGTACAAGATAAGATTGAAATCCTGAGAACGGCCTTATACCCTGTAAAAGAAACCAAAGCGATATATCTTGTCTTCCCCAAAACGTCTTGTAGTGCTGGGAACAAACATTACATAGGTAAATACCTCCCTCTTTAAAAAACGTATACAACATTGAACTAAATTATAAGTCAGTATCCCATATCAGCTTCAAAGGATCTTGTCAAAGGCATCGTTCACGTTAATTTTGGTCTGGCTTTTCGCTCTCTCAAATTATTGACCTTCTCAATGTCCATTAAATTTCGCCAATCTTGGATTATCAACTCCTCATTACTTAATCTTACCAATAAAACAAACCGCCTCGTCCAATTATATAGCTTAAACCTATATTAGTTCTTCCCATGCAAGTAACGCGTATAAATAGAGTGCACTTGTTTATGACAAAAACATTATTCCTTCCCCAAGACAAAATTACCACCTTTCCTTTATTCTTAATAAAGAGTTTATTTCAAACAATTCTTGAAATGTCGCTTATCGTTCTGCTTTATAGTGTCTGCATATTTGTTCATGTGTCCATTCTTAATACAATAGCCGAGACGGAAAATAGTCTTGTGGTCATGAACTCCGATTGTTGCGGTTTGAAAACTATCCTGCAAGATGCTTAATATTGTTATTGAAACGAAGCCAGCCCATCGTCTTTGTAACACATGTTTCCTGTTCTCTTTATTTTGTCGCAAATGTAAATGTTGAACATGCCTATTGTATCCTGTCCAACGTCTCTGCTCCAAATCGTTTATTTCAGTTATATCTTGTACTTGAAACACATTTAACATCCATTGTCTTTGTATCGTTGTCCTTAAAGTCCGTTATATAACATAGGTAGTACCAGCTCATGTCATCATCTCTATCTATGCGCGATGCCACAAATATGTCTCGAATTCAATATGACTAAGATTCTGTCTCGGTAAATTTGATCTCTGAACCATCGTCTACTAGTCCTGTCAATTGTTACAAATAAAGTCATGTTTATTTATGTGTACTTCTGTAATTAAGATCTTATATCTTTTCCTTTCTTCTTCGAATAAATCTCTTTCGGCTTTCATTTATTTTATACATGTAAAAATACTATTATACTGTATATATATATAACTTCTGTCTTCCTGTTCTCACATAAATAATTATACTGTTCTGCGCTTACCCCGCCCCGCTTCTGACAGCACAATACATACACACATTTTTTGTTATTAGTAGAAATACGATTCGTCCTTTGAAGTACCCCATATTTACGTCCGAATTTTCATGTTTACGCCGTTTGCTTTTTTGCATTGAACACCATCATACAGTTATACAGCAATTGCACAACACATTCTGAATTTTGGGTTCAAAATACCGAACACAAACAATTTTCAGACGCAATCCTGCTGGTCTGAGTGCCGCGATTTGGGAAATACAATTACTATGTATTACTATCCATATAATTCTTATTTGTACTTTAAATTGAATACTGATCCTTTATTTTATGAACGAACCACATCTCGTATTATCCTTCATACAAACAGAAGTCATCAATTTGAACAATAACGTTTATATGAGTATATTGGAAAATCAAGCAAGTAAAGAAATGAGACTCTATAATCGTTTATTATAAGCTGGAGAGTTTGTCATAATAAAATAGAGGTCCCTGTTATATTAAATTATTACTGGTAGATTTTTCCTGCGAAGATCGAATTGACTGTGTACCCTCCAACTCTAAAATGATGTAATAAGATTTGTAAATCAGTTACATAAGAAACATCACTTATTGTTATATACAAGGTAGCTAGTTGACCCATATCCGGCACTTCTGGTGCATTATAGTTTATCCATTCAATGACAGAGTCCTAAATTGGATTATAAAATAAATTTATGAGAAACTAGAAGCTTCGGCAGTTCCCTAAAAATAAAAAAAATAAAAAAGACAATAAGACAGAGTGTGAAACAGATTGCAAAAAAGAACTGAACTTTTTTAAACGTAAACATGTGGGTTTCTTTTATACACGAAGAACACAACTATTTACAGCAAACGGGAAGATGACTACCGTGGGTAGGTTATATTGACATATTGTCTAAACTGTCAATATCCCGCAAGGTTCATCAAGGATAACAAAATAACATTCTATAGCTGAAGTAAATATATGAGTGTTACGTGAATTAAGAAATATCATTTGTCATAGGCCAAAAGGTTAAAGATGATATTTTACCTCAATCTTCGGAGTTCATGTATGTAACCGTAAAAGTGATTTATATACTGCTGGAATACAACAGCTACGCGACCAATGCAGGATTGATTATGAAATCTGATCTCAGCTGGACATATTGTAATATCGTAGATATCAAATGGGTCTTTATGAATATTAAAAGTAAAGATAGCCTTTTATTAAGAGTTGAATGAGGTCGTATTTATACTTTAACGAAGCTGTGTCTAAACTAATAGTAAATCAAATCGGGAGTAACTATTCAATCGTCAATCCATTTGAATTAAATAAATGTTTATTTATGTATTGTTATTCGCTCATAGCAATATTTCCATGATTAAGATCTCCAGTCTGTCTACTGAGATCTAATATTGGATTTCTATTGTTTTCTATGATTCAATACATCTGCGATACAACACATATGATGGATCTGACATTGTGTCAAACCTAAAGAAATTTATTCCAAATATGGTACTTATAATATATAGCGTATATGTACTATAATTGAGTGCCAAGATAAGAAGTAATTAAATTAGTCAAATTACGCTATACATACGACATATGACAAGCGCACTAGCTGTAACACGAATTGGCTTAGGCTAATTTAAGACAAGGCGACACAAAACGAGACAAGTTTAGTGAGATGATTTAAAAAAAATACCATAAAAACCAAACTTGAAAGAGTGGCACATAATGCAAGTCTTCAACATAACAGAAACTATGAAAAATCATAGATGGAGAACGGTACACCACAGATGTTAACGTAGTAAGCTTTTAAATTGATCTTATCCAGCTAAGTATCATATTGAGAGCCCTTGGAACAAAAGAGTTATGTTAGAGAAAATTTTAGTGTAGAAGAGACCAAGAAATAAAAAACGTTGTCTCGGGGAATTTCCAGTGTGCTGCAAACATCCCTACTTCAAAGTACTGGATTTGCCCAATGTTTTTAAGTAACGTGTGGCTTGGATTTTTCAAGTATAAAAACAAAAGTTACCAAACTAATAAAAAGGGTCAAGCTCTTTTAGTCTTGAAAACCTTAATCATAATCTTCTTCGACGTCAAGATGTACCAATTTTCACCAAGATTTTCTTACGCAATAGTATGGACATTAAATCGAAGTTTGTCAGAGACTTTTAACATTACAAGATTCTCGGATCATCTCCCAATGTAACATTTATGATCATTCCCCTGATGGTACCAACTAGATTGTTCCTTGTTACCAAAAAAGGTCTCCAGGCTAGTGAAATAATATGAGGAGATGATCCCGAAGCATTTACCCTAGTAATTCATTGTTGCTTGAAAACTCCAATGCAACATTGTAGGAATGAATCACTTTGATGGGAGGTCTCATTACCAGTTTGGTTTTCTCATTTTTGAAGGCATAGGCATACGGACGTCTGTATGTTGTGTGTATATAATGTAAGTTTATAATATGGTGCACGCAGTTATAATTTATCGATTCCAACTTTTGACTACCCACAGATGCTGGAAAGGCGCTATTCAAATAATCAGCCAATGCAATAGGAGTAATATTTTCGAATATACCAGTACCCATGAACCTCGTTTCATTCTCCTTACGTAATAAAAAGAACAACAGATGAAATACGTTTCTCAGAATTAGTGCCACATAGGGAAGAGAAAATAAGACATTATAAAACAAACGAATACTTGGCGAACAGGGAAGGTTTGTATAAAAATATGAGACCATCTACGAAGATCAGCAGTGCCTTAGGTCAAAGATTCAGAATGGTTTTATTCCAGAAACGACTAACATTATTTATACTAGATATCGCACAAAAGGAAAATACCGTGTTGTTTATATGATAAATTCAGACAAAGTCAGTGAGAATGAAAGGTACCATCAACAAAAAAGAGTTTTGAAAATTTGAAGAGTAAGAATAAGCTGGATTACGTGGACATTGAATAGTTAGATGGCTCAGACAGTATTATCGTTTGGTCACAGCCGCAAAAAATACATTTGGAATACAAATTACCTATCGCCAAAAATTATTAGAAAGATGGAGTCAGATAAGATTTGGAAGACTTGATTTAAAGTACTTCTTACAGTGAGCTAGATGTAATGCAAGATGGTATTATTATAGTTATTTGGGGAATGATTTCACAAGACATTATGGCAACACATGATAAGATGGAGTTGATGACATTTTGAAGCTCTTGACAAATCACGCCTTAAACAATTACATTCGTGCATGAAAGGCCAATTTCAAAGAAACAAGCATGCGTTGTATTCTACTGGTAACTTTAACAGAAAGGTGGCAGCCAATATACAACACAAAAAGTGAAAAAAACTTAAAGGTAAAACAAGGTATCCAGAGGTGAAATTAGGGATTTTGTAGTCCTCTAAGAAGGTCTCATCCCCAAATACCGGCGTGATCTTTGGCAAAAATGATATATTTAATAAATAGTGGCATAAAATATATCTTTACTTTCGGTCAAAATAGACTAAAACCACCTAACGTTTTCATAGATATAATTTATATTTTCTAAATTGTACAACTCGTGTTTTAATGACTTATCCTAATAATTTTCTTTTTCCGAAGAATGTTATCGATGACAAATATAGAAAAGAAAGTCACACACTAGCTTAAATTTTAAAACGAGAAAATTTTTTTTCATCTTTTTCCTTCCTTTAATTTTTTGTATTTTTTTGTATGGGTATATCAACGCACATTCAATTACAATAGTTTCGCAACTAGACTAACATTTGCTAGTATTAATGGTTTGGTCTTTGGTTTTTTTCTGATGTGTTTAACTCTCCTGTGGTGTCGTCTTTCGTCTTGGAGTTTTTGGTAATCTTTAACATTATTAAAACTAACATAGGCTAGTATCTCTGGTTTTGGTCTTTCCTGTGGTTTTGGCTTTTTCTGATGTGGTGATCTCTCCCATTGTGTCGTCTTTTGTGCTGGTAACTCGTAATATTATTGAAACTAATGTTCTTTCTTTTTCAGCGTTGGGGTCTGGGGGTGAGTCTACAAAGTGGAGGCCTCCCCGTGGCTAGACTTGGTAACGTTCTTCTGAACGGCTAACGTCCACAATATATAGAAAATCATTATTCTTACAAATAAATGTAGTTTTTTCTTAAAAAATAATTTTTGTCTTATAAGCCTTCTCGTCTATTATTATTTTCTTTCTGTTCAACCGATTACGAACGTAATTTGGAGATGCATTGCAAAAAAAAAAAAAAAATATGACAACAATCATTAATGTGTAGTCATTCATATAAATGGCATGTGATTTTTTGTTTAATTCAATACACTCCAGCTGCAGCTCTTATTGATATTTCCAAAGCGTATGTGTTGTTTACATAAGATCTTATGGTACTTGAGGTGCCTCATCCCATGGATGGAGCAAATGTGTGCCAATGACTAGATTCCACATGGGTCAAAGTAATTTTGACATCCCCCTTGTTCCTCTTCTAATACTCAAGACTGGCATGAGTATACGTTAAATTAAATTACAATCAATAAACTTTCTGTTCGTCTCTATCAAACAATGTGGTATGTATATCTTTTTTTTTTAAGCCAAGATAGCTAGTGACGGATTATCAATGATTTTTACGTGACTCTGCCCAGAACCAAGACAAGTATGTTACTGATAGATCAAATAGTTCTACCCAGACATAGTCTGAGGACTTTCCATATTCACAGTCTAGAAAGTTTCAATAACCGGGAAGGAATCTTTAAATATCACGCATATATGGATAATTCTGTGATAATCTGGGTATGAAATTATAGTATAAAAGATAACAAAGATTCTTCAATCATTAGTATAAGTCAGTCAGTTTGTGATTATAAACGTAAAGGGTTTTTTTTACATGAAACTTTCACCCCAATTGACCCTTGCATAGGTTAAATTAAAATAACTAAAGAACTGTGAATTTTTGGATTCAGGTTATATATCAGTAGTGGCATGAGATATAGCTCGTCATGTCTTATCACGTAGTTTTGAAATTTATTTTTTTTTGGACGCACGCACCAATAAATTGTTTATCGATTCAACAATGCGCGAGATGCTTGTATTATTAGCATTGCAACAAACAGTGTCTATTTTATGGAACTGGTGCACGATTTTTAGAATATTTCAACCTCTTGTTTTAATAAACAAAAATAAGGACAAGACTGTTAAATAGTTTAAGCCATCAAAAAATGAAGAGAATGATGTCGTACTCAAAAAGAAGCTTTAGTGTATGATATCTAATAATCGTTCAAATGGGTATCGTGTTGTAGTGAACAGACTCATTAAATTCAAATTAAAAGGGTTTTTTGAGGCCGTAGTATCAATAAATCCTAATAGATGGTCATCTAAAATCACAAAAGGGTTTGGAACAGAACAGTAAGAGTACTGCAGTAGTCACAGTTAAAAAAAACTCTTACCCTTAAGAGCACTAAAAAGGTTGTGTATACCTGAATAGGCTTTTTTGTTTTCTCTGTAAGATTTCTTCCTTATCAAAATAGCTTGCATTGTTTATTTTATTGAAGAAGGAAAAATGAATAATTGTTGCTACATGAATTTTCAAATTCGGAAAACTTGAAAGTAATACAAACAAAGCATTTAAGACATTGCTCGAGAAAAAAACCTTAATTTTACATTTTAAACCCCACTGTTAGGTGCTCTGAAAGTAAAACAGGTTGTTTTGATATGATATTAAGATATCATGAATAATGTAGACTTTCGATCGTAAATGCACTCTTTAATGAGGGTGAAATTAGTACTGGCGTAAACTTTAATTTAGAAAAAAAAAATAGGTTGACAGTTAAAAATAGAATTATTATCTCATCATAACAAAGTCTTTCTTCCCCTTTCAGATTTCTTTTTTATTTTCTTTGTAATGATTCTCAATCTTTTATGTTAAGAAAAAATCCTCAAGGATTCGAGCTCTGTATCACCAACTACAATTACCATTTCGAAAGACAAATGCGTTTCAATGCACTGAGATCTAGCAGTAACAACATTAAGACATGTCCTTATTTTCTTCACGTCAAAAACAAAAAAAAAGTGAAGAGCTTAAATAGAACCTCGAAGAACGAATGAGATTGAAGAGAACATTCCCAACATTAAGGTAGTTGCCATTGAACATGATTCATGCACATTGAGTAAAAAAAAATCTTTCTTCGCAAACTAATTTTACAAACAGATATCATATATGACATAAGTACCAGTAATGGCCGAAAAATATAAAGACAATATCGAAGAAGCCGAAGATGTAAGCATGGTAGTTGATAGGAAGATGACGATGAAGATGACGATGACGACGAAGGAGAAAAAGAAGAAAAGGAAGCTTGTGCGGAAGGGAATGACAATCCAAAAACAACTGAGGCACAAATTAGAGCAGGCATGTATAGATTATTTGCTACCAGTTTTAAGGTTAAGAAAGGCCTTACTGATAGAGCAGCTAATACCCTTCTTCAGTTTTAAAACATCGCATTGAAGGATGCCAATGGTAGTAGTCATTCTGCGTTGCCAAAGTCATTCAAAATAGTTGAGAAAAACTTAAATAATGAATGGGACCATGGTCTTACCAGATATACGTTTCACGCAAAACGAGATTCAGTCTATGTTCCTGAAGTGACAAAGGTGTGATATTTAACTTTCTCAAAATCAACGTCTAATTATTATAATGCAAGACAAAACACCCTCTCAACAATCATGTAATTTTGCCTCGCTGTCTGGTGATGTTTGTGATGACGTTTTATGTTAGCAGGTAAGAAATATAATGGCAAAAGCATCTTCATGCCCAAATTTGTTTACCCTTACAAGTCTTTTAAAAGTTCATCGCAAGCGTTGATGCTTCGCCCGGAATTCTACTCTACAATGAAAGATTGGAGATTAAGAGATGTTGTTCCAAGAACGTCTTACCACATATATGATGGTAAAATATACAAAACATTGATCGATAACACTGGTCTTCCATTTCAACATTGCGACATCCGTTGTATGCAGCGTTAAATGTCGACTGGTTTCGATGTTTTGATAATGTAAATTATTCCTGTGGTGTCATTTACGTGTAAATCCATAATTCGAAAAGAGAAGGCTGATTTAAAGAAGAAAACATCATCGTAGTTGGGCTTATGCCTGTTGAAAAGAACCAAAACTGGACCGAATCAACACGTACTTAAGATCCTTGTTTGATGAGCTTTTCCAATTGGAAAATGAAGTAATGATGAAAACGGCCGCACGACCTGGCGAGATTAAAATACATTCTGCTTGGTTGATGTTTGCATGCGATATCCCAGATTGCTGGAAATTAGCTGGTGTTTAGTCTCATTCCCGTGGCCATACGTATAACAAGTGTGAAGGTAAATTCCCCTTGGTTAAAGGTAAACCTGATTTTTTTAAAATCAACACCGTTGCCAGAAAAAGCCTGATCGATCGAAGGCAAGCAATATGCGAGTGGATTTGAGATGGCAGAATGCCACTAATGAGATAGAAACAGAGGATCTTGTGAGGGCAAATGGAACAAGTTATTCCGAACTGCATCAATTGCGGTATATAGATGTTGTGAGACAAAGAATAATTGATCCTATGCATAATATTCGTTTGGGGACATGCTCAAAATTTGTGATGATTTGGAAGGAAGAAGGATACTTCGCAAATGTCAACTCGGAGAAAATGTAAGTTCTTGCCGACTCGGTGGAACTACCTGCTGGTTTTGAAAGTGTTTATCAAAGGATTGGAAGTGGTTTTACCAACTTTAAATATGACAACTGGAAAAGCTGGTGCCTGTTATATTCCCCTTTCGTTCTGACAGGTAAAACTTATTCGTCATAAAAAACGTCATATTTATGATGTTGGTAATGAACAGCTATTTTAGCAAAAGAGAACATGAGAAACTGGATGATTTTTGGAAACGCATCCGTATGTATTTTGAAAACTGAAATGAAAAAATCCAAGATCCATAAGGCACACAAGCTCTTTTTGGATTTTAATAGAGTAGCCGAAGGTTTATACAGAAACAAATTTGATGCCATAAATCAACACTTTTATTGGCATCCTAAACAGACCATTAATACTTTTTCACCACGCCATGCATATTGGATTTTTACTTTTGAACGGTGCAACGGTTATCTCGGATCATTTAAAAATAACGAAAAAAATGTTGAAGTTAAGTTTATCAAAAAGGCCATGGAAAAATACAACCTTCAGCATAACACAATTAGAGCATACAACAAGGCCATTAAACCATCATCACCGTTATCCCTATCCTTTCAATTTAATTTCAAAAAAAATGGAAAAGTTCTTACATGAGAGGACTATGTTTGGTGGACGATTCAATGACCGGGTAAGACGTCAAATTACTGAAGGGTTTGTTGCAACCGAATTCCCAGAATCTTGTGACAATTTAGACATTAATGTCACCGGGCCAGAGCCACTTTGTTTAGGTGTTCTTCTATGGAAATTTTTTAAAAAAACCAGTGATTGCTAGGAGCGGGGCGGGGGAAGAGCAGAACAAAATGATTATTAAAGTGAGGACAGTGTCAGGAGCGGGGCGGGGCAAGAGCAGAGCAGAATAATGATTAAGGTGAGGACAAGACGAAGAGAAAATTATATATCTATTAGTTTTAATATATATAAAAGGAATGAAGGTAGAAAAAGGTTTATTCAGAAAAGCAGGAAAAATAGATAAGATCTTTAATATAGATATAAGATTAAATAACCATGCTGTTATTTATATTAATTGACAGGTCGGGTAAACAAGGGTTCGGGATCAGATTTACAGAGACAGATTATTAGTCATGCGCTAAAACCACATAACAAATGCTACTATCTACAAACGGAAAGATGTTTCACGAATAATAGATCGGGATTCAGTAACCCGAATTCATGGAAATTTCTTCATTATAACACAACTTTATGCTGCGACCAATGAGAGATCAGAGAATTTAAGGAACAATAATAAATCAAGGACAGCTGTCTTACGATCTTCAAGAAACCAAATGAATGGTCCATCATATAAAACTACGATGGATTTGAGCTATCAAAAATACAAGCCACAATATCTTCAATCTTCCATAAATATCAGGGCCAACCCGCCCGTTTAGTTAGCTCTTAATCAATTTATATCCAATGAATCTACCATACTTATACATAAGGTAACTAAATTATAAGACAGTTTGTGAATAATTTGAGACTGTTTATAAGATGTCTTTATTATGAAATAAAATGAGCAAGAATTTATATAAAAAAGACTATCTGCTGTGCCACTATCTTAAGTGTATCTTTGAAGTTGTTATCATTTTCCCATTGTGTATCCTGTTACTTTTAACTGCTTATTTTGTAAATATGGTACACTTGGAATTACTGTCATCTTAGACACATTGTACTCCCATATTTTAGTAAGCCTTAGTCACTGTGCTCTTGTAACCTTGTGATATAATAGTACTAATTATCTAAAAGAGTAATTGATTCCTTTATCGATTAGTTAATTGGTAGTCTCCGCTTGTTCATCCCCAAACTTTTTAACTTTGCATTTCTAATGACCCCCACGTGTTGTAAAACTGCAACTGGGTATATATACACTTATATGCCTTACTATTTATGAACACTAATGAGAATAACCTCATTTAATTTATTGTGTTTGTTGTGATTATTGTGATGTTATAATACTTTAATTGATCAATGTTATTTTTTTATATCAATGCTATTATAGGAAATACTGGTTTTGACCTAAACTTGCACTTGACTAAGGACGCCTTTAAAATATTGAAGATCATTTTTGACATTACTTTGGAAAGCACTTTGCATAACACTAAGCAATAATCAACTTTTATTTAGGAGCAGAGATCTGAAACAATTGTTTTTGTCCATATACATTTTAGCTTTACAAGCATGTGTGTACAAAGATTTTAGGGTAACTTAAGTATTAAAATTAAAGATGGGTTGATTACGAATAATGTCCAAATTTTATTACAAACGTATCTGGAAACTGATTGCATTGTCTCGCGCATCAAATAAAGTTCAGAAAAATATCTTGATTGATCCAATCTTTGGGTCAAGCCTATCAAAACATTGTTTGTAGCTTGTGACACATCAACTGATAGCCAATATTTAGAGGAAGACAACATCAATTAGTGAAATTAAATATCACAATACTAGAAGGTACCCAGACCTACTTCGCCTCCCGTACTTAGCGCCAAACTAATTTGTCGCGCCTGGAGTTCGGACGATTGAACTTATATGCACCAGCAAGAAGGGGTTATGTATGATATGCAAAGCGGACGAAAATATGGTGAATGACAAAAGTGAGCGTTTGATCCCCAATATTCATTAAAAAGAGATGCTAAAAATTTATTTGAGGAAGTTTAAGATACTCCTGTGGGATAGATCATGTTAGTGGAAGAGGTGCAATAAACGTACGTAAATATAAATTACAAGTGCAGATAAAGGTATTCGAAATAAATCATTCGAGCCTATTCTTTTTTTCAAAAAAATTATCGATTGTGTCATTTCCTTAATGTATCTTTGGATTGTATTGAAGTCATATGTAGCTTCGTTTTTATTTTAATATCTTGTAAATGTATGTCTAAGGAAAATACAACATTGTAGCCATAGTTCTCTACACTTTCAAAATGGTCAACAATATCCTCATCACACAGCCAAATCAGAGCAATGTAGTCCATAGCCCAATTAAATTAATGTTGAGAAACTAAAGTCTGATCTCGTTTGACAGTGAATTGCAGTGGACAAGTAATCAATTCAAACTGATGAAAGATTATCTTGTATTCTTGTTGGACTATATAATGGCTTATTTCGTCAGAACCTTGTGAGAGTGCAAGTTGACACATTTTATTGAAACGCCAACCACGTAACACTGTCTGTGCCACGACTTGAGCACCTTCTTGCAATATTTTCTGTCAATCCTTTGGCAATCCTGATAAATCTATGGATATGATGAATGTATATTCAAAACCAGGTACTTTCGCAACAGGGGAATCCATCAGTTAGACCTATCTTTTTAACTGTCAATCATTGATAGTTTGCTTTAAACCTATTATTTTAAAATAACTTTAGGAAAACCTGAGTCAAAAAAACCGAAATCTGGTTTGGTGTAACTGGTCTCTGTAACGTAAAGCTTAATTTATTGTTGTAAGACGGTATGTGTTTTAAAACGCCTTGCTTCGTTCATCATTTCCGCGTATTACGTTGGATTTAAGTCCTGGTGTAGAGTGAAATGGTGTCACTTTGTTATTTCCCAATCCCCAACAGAGTTGAAACCTGCCTGGGTTAAGACCACCTTCTGACCTTTTTTCGACCCACATGAATGCTTTGTATTCAGTACACATCGTCGTCATTCTTCCCAAACCATGTCTACTGGGCAGTATTTCAGTTTGCTTTGCTTATTTTATAGTCTGGTGGGCACGATTACTATTCTGGCGGCACAAAAGGCTAGTTCTCCTTAAATGCCCAAGTTGTTGACATGTTGAACAGCGGACAATTCTTTCTTGGACTGGCTCATGAGTTGAAATGAACTCAGGTTCGTCTACCTCCATGTCCTATTTGGAATCAATCTTAGTTAAAATGCTTACAAAAAATTTCTTTTTGCTGTACCACAGTAATTGAGGCTGGGTTATTTAGTGCATTGTTATGGTTATTCAATGAAGATGTCACCTAAAAAAAAGTCAGTATTTTCAAATAAAAAAAAAAAAAAAAAAAAAAAAAAAAAGAAGAGATGACTACATTCGTATTTAGGTTTACTGGATTTAGAGGAACATCTAGGTGGGATCTACGACTATGACCTTTTGACCACAGGACGCATAATTTGCACTATTATTTGACAAGTTTTAGAAAAAAATAAAGGGACAACGTTAATACTATGAGCTGTATTCTTGTGTGAAGGGTTCACCCCGCACCCCAATTTTTTTATCACTCCTTAAAATTGCGCTGTTTAAAAAAAACAAGCATACTGTTTTTTAAGATATTAGCGCTTTCAAGCTTAATACTATTAGCCGTATTCTTGGCCCATCTATATGGGACGAAAATTTGAGGAAAATTGAGCCAAAATGGTTTTCAGGTGTGACTGGGTTTTTCTAGAGCTAGATAATAACTGGGGTATTTGTTGACTTAATTTTTCTCGAACTTTCTTTCATTTCTAATAATTACTCATTCTGAATTCTTCTTCATTCTAGGGATCACTCCTACGCTTATTGATTAATGTGCTGTTGCCATCGGGGAATGCGTAATCTGGTAAGACTTGTATGGGCTGAAGGATGCGCTGACGAACGGTTATTCTTTGAAAACTCTCTCCAAGTCGACTTTGGTCCGTTGAGAATTAATAGACTGTAATACTTAGTAATGCGAAGCTGGTTACAAGCACTTTAAGCAAATAATGCGTTTTTTTGCCATCCTACGTATTAGCTACTTAATTTGCTGAATAGTTCAAACGCTCTCTTCAAGTCGATTTAGGTCCGTTGAGAGTTTATAGGCTTTTTTTTTTTTTTTCGGTAGTCCTATGTTTGCTATCAGTATTTTAAGCGACTAACGCGTTTCGGTTCTCTCCTTCATATTGATTGCTTCACCAGGTGCTCCCGCTTTTGTTAAGTACTCTGCATATATATTAATCATTACAAAACGAATAACTTTTTGGTTCTAATTGTTAGGTACAAGATAAGATTGAAATCCTGAGAACGGCCTTATACCCTGTAAAAGAAACCAAAGCGATATATCTTGTCTTCCCCAAAAGGTCTTGTAGTGCTGGGAACAAACATTACATAGGTAAATACCTCCCTCTTTAAAAAACGTATACAACATTGAATTAAATTATAAGTCAGTATCCCATATCAGCTTCAAAGGATCTTGTCAAAGGCATCCACACGTTAATTTTGGTCTGGCTTTTCGCTCTCTCAAATTATTGACCTTCTCAATGTCCATTAAATTTCGCCAATCTTGGATTATCAACTCCTCAGTACTTAATCTTACCAATAAAACAGACCGCCTCGTCCAATTATATAGCTTAAACCTATATTAGTTCTTCCCATGCAGATTAACGCGTATAAACAGAACTTGCTTATGACAAAAACATTATTCCTTCCCCAAGACAAAATTACCACCTTTCCTTTATTCTCAATAAAGAGTTTTATTTCGAACAATTCTTGAAATGTCGCTTATCGTTCTGCTTTATAGTGTCTGCATATTTGTTCATGTGTCCATTCTTAATACAATAGCCGAGACGGAAAATAGTCTTGTGGTCATGAACTCCGATTGTTGCGGTTTGAAAACTATCCTGCAAGATGCTTAATATTGTTATTGAAACGAAGCCATCCCATCCTCTTTGTAACACATGTTTCCTGTTCTCTTTCTTTTGTCGCAAATGTAAATGTTGAACATGCCTATTGTATCCTGTCCAACGTCTCTGCTCCAAATCGTTTATTTCAGTTATATCTTGTACTTGAAACACATTTAACATCCATTGTCTTTGTATCGGTGCCCTTGAACTCCCTTGTATAACATTAGTAATACCAATCCTTGTCAACATCTCTACCAATGCGCGATGCCACATATATGGCTTTTGACTCAATATGACTAAGAATCTGTCTCTGTAAATTTGGTCCAGGAACCTTTGTCCACCCGTCATGTCCATTATAGCAAATAGCAGCATGGTTATTTATATATACTTCTGTAATAGAGATCTTATGTATTTTCCTTTCTTCTTGGAACAATTCTTTTTCGTCTTTCATTTATTTTTATACATATAAAAATTCTATTATACTGTATATATATATAACTTTTGTCTTCCTGTTCTCACCTAAATAATTATACTGTTCTGCGCTTACCCCGTCCCCGCTCCTGACAGCACAATACATACACACATTTTTTGTTATTAGTAGGAATACGATTCGTCCTTTGAAGTACCCCATGTTTATGTCCGAATTTTCATGTTACGCCGTTTGCTTTTTTGCATTGAACACCATCATACAGTTA